ATATTAAGATCCCAATTCTTTCAATAAGTGACCATTCCCCCATTGTTTTTACCCATAAAACTAAGGAAAAAATAAAAAAAGGCCCATTACATCTTAGATATTTAAAGGTATTTAATTTAATTAGACCTTTATCTACTATTATCAATTTAAGTATTCAAACAGGATAGTTTCCTACCAAATTAAAACAATCAATAGTTACACCCATTTATAAAAAAGGACAAAATTCTGATAAAAATAATTACCAACCAATATCTGTACTTCCACTCATTTCTAAAATATTTGAAAAGCACATATCTGACCATCTAAAACAATTTCTAGAAACTGATAAATTTATTTTTAAGGCCCAGTCAGGATTCAGAACCAAGCACTCTTGTGAAACAGCATTAACAAACATAGTTGACAATTGGATAAATGCAATAAATGATGGAGAACTAGTTGGCAGAATTTTTCTTGACCTAACCAAAGCATTTGACCTTGTAAACCATAAAATTCTTACTCAGAAACTGCAATATTACCATTGTTGCATTTATTTTTGTAATATTGTACCATAGTTGTATATATTGTAAATTATGTTTTTCTTAGAGGCCCACATGGAAGATTGGGAATTTTTACTTACTTACTTACTACCTTACCTTACCTTACCTTACCTTACCTTACCTTACCTTACCTTACCTTACCTTACCTTACCTTACCTTACCTTACCTTACCTTACCTTACCTTACGTTACGTTACGTTACGTTACGTTACGTTACGTTACGTTACTTTACTTTACTTTACTTTACTTTACTTTACTTTACTTTACTTTACTTTACTTACTTTTAAAAACATCCAAATGATAGTTCCAACTTCAAGGGATGGCAAGTTCAACATATTAAGAATACTGTTAAAGGTTTTCACATTGATACATATCATACTAAAAGATAAAACTGTATGAAGAAACAATTACATTGTAGTTTATAGGAGTGTGATATATGATATATCACACTGATGAAATACAGTATATCATTTATCATTGTATACAAAGAAAAGGGATATTGAATTTTATTTGTTCATACTAATATTTGTAAATATATTGCAGTGTGAAATATGTAATAAACAGTAAGCTTTGTTGGAGAGTGTAATGAGTAATAAACAGTAAGCTTTGTTGGTCAGTGTCTTCTGGAGAGTGATAATATAGATTATATCTCATTAATAAGATTAGGTTAACCACTATTGATATAGAATAGGAAATCATTGATATAATTTGGTAGATCGTCATTGTTCAACACTAATTAAAACTCAGATTTAATGAAACACAAATCATATTTTTTTTAGCTCACCAGTCGCAAAGAGACATGGTGAGCTTTTGAGATTGCTTTTCATCCGGCTTCCATCCGTAAACTTTTACTTTAAATGACATCTCCTCATAAACCACTAAGCCAATTTTATCCAAACTTATTTGTTGAAACTAAAAAATTGCAGGGATGTTTCTTGCATGAAGCTCTACCAAAGTTGTTCAAAGAATTAAATTCCATAAAGAACTCTGGTTGCCATGGCAACCAAAAAATTATTTTACAAAAAATCTTCTTGTAAAACAACGAAAGAGTTAAGCTTAGATATTTGGCATGAAACATCTTCTAGTGTATGTCTGCCATGTTTGTTGAAATAAGCCCCTAGGGTCAAAATTGGCTCCATCCCAGGGATCAAGGTAGACAATTCAATCCCTAGCCAGGTGAAATGTTTGTTTTCCTTCTCTTTTTCTGTCATCTTTTTATTAGGTCACCTCTCACAGTGACCAGTTGAACTGTTTAATAAAATGGCTGCCAGATCTAAAATTAGAAAACAACATCTGAGCAACATCTCAGTCACTGGTTCAATTTTGAAATAATTGTACACCAAAATTTTCTTGGTGACAGTGTACAAAAATTGTTCAAATTAAGCTGTCCCTTGTTAAATTGTGCTTCTGGGGTGAGAAGAGACTCCACTTTTACTTATTTAGTATTTTTAGAGTGATTGCCCTTGATTTAGTAAAAATTTGCAATTTTCAACTTGTGTCACACGTAACTCATAAAAGTATTTGACCTAGAGTCATGAAACTTTACAGGAATGTTGATCAGCATGTGTAGTTGTGCACCTGGGTATTTTCGTGTGGATTTATGTAGTATTTTTAGAGTTATTGCCCTTGACTTAGTAAAATTTTGCAATTTGCAACTTTTGTAGCATGTAACTCAAAAAGGATTTGGCCTAGAGTCATGAAACTTTACAGGAATGTTGATCAGCATGTGTAGTTGTGCACCTGAGTATTTTTGTCAATGACTTAGAAATCTTTTTGCAATTTTCAACTTGTGTCACATGTCACTCAAAAAGGATTTGACAAAGAGTCATTAAACCTTACTGGAAGGTTGTTCAGCATATGTAGTTGTGCACCTTGGGTTTTGCTTGTGGATTTTTCCAGTATTTGTAGAGTCATTTCCCTTGACTTAGTAAAAACCCTTTTATTATGTTTTGTTATTTGTTCCTTGTGTGCTTGAGTTAGAATCAACCAACTTTACAGGAATAATGATCAACATCACTAAGTTACAGGAATAATGATCAACATCACTGTGAAGCTATGCACCTGGGACTTTGCATGTGGATTTTTTTCAGTTTTGTTAGAGTTACTGCCCTTGACTTACAGTAGTATAAATTTGCAATTTTCAACTTGTTCATGCATAGCTCAAAAAGTATTTGACTTGTAGGCCTGAAAGTTTACAAGAATGTTGGTCAGCATGTGTACTTATGCACCTTTGGGTTTGCTTGTGGATTTATTTAGTATTTGTAAAGTTCTTGCCCTTTACTTAGTAAAAGATTTTTAGTTTTCAACTGGTGGCACATGTAGTCCAAAAAATATTTGACCTAGAGTAATAAGATTGACAAAACAATTGAGTGTAGGGGCACCAGTGTCCTATGGACACATTTTTAGCTCGACTTTTCTATGAAAAGGGGAGCTATCCTACTCGCCCCGGCGTCGGCGTTGGCGTCACACCTTGGTTAAGTTTTTAGTACCACCCCACTTTATTTCAGAAGTATTACAAGTATGGCTTTGAAACTTACCATACTTGTTCACCATCATAACCTCCATCTACAGACAAGAGTACATAACTCTGTCAAGGTTTTTGACAGAATTATGGCCCTTTTTTGACTTAGAAAGTGTATTGAGCTTGGTTAAGTTTTTTGTACCACCTCACTTTATTTCAAAACCATTGGAGGTATTGCTTTGAAACTGACCATACTTGTTTACCATCACGACCTTCATCAACAGACAAGAGGACATAACTCTGTCAAGGTTTTTGACAGAATTATGCCCCTTTTTGACTTAGAAAATACATTGAATATGGGTAAAATCCACTTATTGCCTTAACCCTTTGAGATATTGCTTTGAAACTTTTAATGCTATTTCACATCATTACCCCCATCTGTACGCAAGAGAAGGTAACTCTGTCAAGGATTTGTTTTAAAAATTAAGGCCTTTTATCGACTTAGAATCTTGGTTAAGTTTTTAGTACCAGTCCACTTTTTGACTGAACTGTTTGAGATATTAATTTGAAAGTTGGAATACTTGTTTACAATCATGATTCCCAAAAACATGTCCAGGAGAAGGTAATTCTGTCAAAGATTTTATTTGAATTATGGCCCTTAACTGTCAATGTTTTGTATTATAGGCAAGCACTAAAAAACTTAAAAAATCTAAAAAAATTCATTCCTATCCACTTGTTCACTTTACCATAAATTATGTCATATAAACATTGCTGTAATATTCAAGGGTATCAAACAACTAGTTCACTTTAAAAATACAGAGATTCTTGTATTGCCTTTTACTGCAAAAACTTTTTTTATTGGCAAGCAATAAAAAAGTCGAGCGCGCTGTCTTACGGACAGCTCTTGTTAGTTAAACTTCTTCGTTTCTTCAAATTCCCATGTCATAATTATATGAAAGGTTTATAAATTTAGCATTAATATTTCCAGAATTATGTACTCCTTAAAGCATGCATTTTTGTGCCCCCACTGTAGGGGGGCATTTAGATTTACCCTTGTCCGTCCATCCGTCTGTTCTCATTTTGTGTCGCATGAAGCTCAAAAATTTTGGACTTAAAGTCTTGAAACTTTACAGGAATGTTGCTCAGCATGTGAAGTTGTGCACCTGGGGTTTTGCTTGTGGATTTATTCTGTTTTGTAAGAGTTATTGCCCTTGACTTAGTGAACATTTGCAATTTTTAACTTGTGTTGCATGTAGCTCAAAACGTATTTGATTTTGTTCATGAAACCTTACAGGAATGTTAATTAGCATGTGAACTTGTGCACCTGGGATTTCGCTTGATGATTTTATCTGTTTTGTCAGAGTAATTGCCCTTGACTGTGAAAATTTGCAATTTTCAATTAGTATCGTGTGTAACTCAAAAAGTATTTAACCTACAGTTATGAATTTAACAGAAATGTTCGTCAGCATGAGTAGTTGTGTACCTGGGGTTTCGCTTGTGGATTTATCCAGTATTTCTAGAGTTCTTACCTTAAACTTAGTAAAAACAGTTCCATTATGTTGTATATTTGTTCTATGAATGCTTGAGTTAGAATCAACAAACTTTACAGGAATAATGATCAATATAGCTGTGAAGCAAAATGACTGCACCTGGGGTTTTATTTGTGAATTTTATTTTTACTTTTGTTAGTTATTGCCGTTGTAGTATAAATTTTCAATTTTCAACTTGTTTATACATAGCTTATTAAGTATTTGACCTGTAGGCCTAAAAGTTTACAAGATTGTTGGTCAGCATGTGTACTTATGCACCTTGGGCTTTGCTTGTGGTTTTATTCAGAATTTGTAAAGTTCTTGCCCTTTACTAAGTAAAAGATTTTAAGTTTTCAACTGGTGGCACATGTAGCCCAAACATTATTTGACCTAGAGTAATAAGATTGACAAAACAGTTGAGTGTGGGGCACTCGTGTCCTCTGGACACATTTCTATTTTTGTTTTTGAATTTCAGGAAGAAAAAGTTCCGTATTCATTCTTTGTCAATGACAAAGAGATCACAGAAAGTCTTGACAACACCCTTGATGAAAAGACACTAGAAGGTTCAGAGCAAGTATTAGATATCATATACCAGCCGCAGGCAGTGTTTAAGGTTCGAGCTGTCACAAGATGTACCAGTTCAATACCAGGTCATGCGGAGGCTGTAATAGCAGCACAGTTCAGTCCAGATGGAAGGTGAGCTTGCATAGATTATTGAACCCTTCACCTGCTGAATTTCTTAAATGGACTTTCCCAATTTTCATTTTGGAACAGTCCATTATCAATTTTATGTGATAAATAGGTGAGAATTTGAAGTTGGCTAGCCAACAGTATAGAGGCTGGTCAGACTGCACGTAAGTGCAAGCTGGCCTGGTTTTATACTGGTGGCAAAGACAATTCACTTCTGCCTTCGGCAGGGTCAAAAAGGTTAAAGACTAAATTACATAAAAAACCATAACTGTTTTAATTGTCAAAAATGCAAATGAAACAAAAGTAACTTTTTGGAAACTGTAACAGGGCATTGAAAATAATGAACTCTTGAAAATTAGAATTATAACTCTTTTTGGGGCATCATAGGCCTTCAATGTCGGTCATATTTTTATCTCTCTTCTAGCATTATTATCTCCCTTAATAATTGTCATATTTTAAGTTTGACTATTCAAAGAATAGTGGCCTATTGTGCTCATCCAAGCATGAATGTAACATGGGGTTCATGTAAAGTCTTTTTTGTGCAACAGTTGCCAACTTTTTGTTACAAGATATTTTTCAACCACCAAAGATATCTGCTTCTTATTTCCAATGCTGATAAGTTGTTATTATTAACATTCACTGTACGACATACTGATCATCTATATTTGATTGATTGATTGATTGATTTTACTTTTTCCAGATATTTGGCAAGTGGTTCAGGGGATACAACTGTAAGATTTTGGGATGTAAATACAGAAACCCCACAGTATACTTGTAAAGGACATAAACACTGGATATTGGCAATAGCTTGGTCACCAAATGGCAAAAAATTGGCCTCAGGATGTAAAAATAGCCAGGTATTATGCTGAGTATAAGTAATATTTTTGCCTGCTTCAAAGAAAAATGGCTGTACATTTCATAACATTACATGACTGTATATTTCATTGTCCATTTCAGTCAGTTGTTTGGTTTGTAGATACATACATGTAGATCATAATGATAAATGTCAGATAAATTACAGACATTTACAGACATTAGATTTGGAATGTTGATCAAATTAAATAACACCTGTAGATTTTAGGTTAGAATGCCAAAGGTCACCAGAAAGGCTTTTACAATTAATAACTAGAGAACAATGTTGCAAACAGGCCTTAGATTTGGTAGTTATGTTGGAGATGATTACTAATCAATTTAAGATCAATCAAAGAAATTTTTATCTTAGAGGTTTACTGAGAAAAGCCTGTCATATGTAAAGAATATGGCAATGTACTCAACTCCGATTTTGTGGGGAGGATGATTATGACCTACTTATCTTGATGTCTGTCGGTCAAAGCTACCTTGACCACAAATAGCTTGTTCAAAAATTAAATAGGGAACACTTTTATAAAAAGTCCCCAAATTCGCTCTGCAAGTTTGTTAAGACTTTCAGTGTTGTTTTTTCTTTCTGGTCCTTCAGGATCATTGATTCCAGCACATTAGTGTTGATAATTTGGTACTGTTCAAGCTGGTGCAATTGACATGAGGGATGTTGTACTTTTTCATTATCCCTCATGTACAGACTCAATTAAACAGAGTCTGCAATTTAAATGTAATTTTGTTGTGATAAATGCTTCTGAGGGATCACCCTTTTTCTAGATTTTTTGCAAGTCACACTGACTTAAACCACACCAAACAGCTAAAAATCTTCAGAAGTACATGAAGGTAGGTCTTTTACTGTATCATGTCTAGTGAAAATCAGAGTTTTGCCAGCACTGGTTAGAACAAAGAGTGACTCTTCAGCTTAAAATAAGTGTGAACTAGTGAAAAATGTTACTTGTGCTCCTTATGATTTAAACTTTATTTAGAATTAGTTCTTAACAGCTGTTTTTTGTTTGGATGCAGGTTTGTGTATGGGATCCAGCCACAGGAAAACAGATAGGAAAAACTTTATCACTTCATAAACAGTGGATTACTTGGTTGGCATGGAAACCATTACATCTGTAAGTTGCATATGAGGCTTGTCTGTGTAGATTTTTCATTACTAAAAATTCTCTTTTGATTTATATTTGAGCCGTGTCATGACAAAACCAACATAATGGGTTTGCGACAAGCATGGATCCAGACAAGCCTGCGCGTTCGCACAGTCTGATCAGGATCCATGCTGTTCGCTTACAAACCCCATAACAAGTACAGAAACTGATAGCGAACAGCATGGATCCTGATCAGACTGCACGGTTTCGCAGGCTGGTCTGGATCCATGCTGGTCGCAAACCCATTATGTTGGTTTTGTCATGACACGGCTCATTTAAATAACACTTTAAATTTCTAACCATAACAATGGACATTGAAATCTGTTGTGCTATGATTATCCGACTAGCATTTTGGAAGGTCTGATTTTCGTTTTGATTAATTGGAAACACTTAATTTTAAAATATTTTATTTCATGAGGTAAATGAACATAAAGTTTACATGTACATTGTACATTGTATTGTCAAAACTGAAACAAAATAGTACAAAATTTATATACAACAATATGAATAAAAATACCCATAATATATATATAAGCAAAACCCTAACAAATTTGTATAGAATTAATAAATATACAGTGCATATAAACACAAGAGCTAACATAGAAAATAGAGACACCATGTTTACCATAGATTTATGCAGAATATGACAAGGGGAACAAATCTTTAGGACATCTTATCAATTATTAACAATAATGTCTTCTTTTCTATGGTTATCAACAGCATCATGTTAAACACCATTTTATCATGTCTTTATTAATATCTGATTAATCAGTTTATGAATAGAAAACTATGAAGGTACACTATGTAAACTACTTACCTTGTATATTTCAGAGATCCAGAATGCAGATTTTTAGCAAGCTCTTCAAAGGTATGAACTAAAATTTGATATTATGTAGAGCTGACATGGCTTTAAAACTGATAAATGAGCCGCGTCACGACAAAACCAACATAGTGCATCTGCAACCAGCATGGATCCAGACTAGCCTGCGCATCAGGGCAGTCTGATCAAGCTCCATTCTGTTCGCTTACAAACCCTATAACAAGTAAAGAAACTGATAGCGAACAGCATGGTTCCTGATCAGATGGCACGGATGCGCAGGCTGTTCTGGATCCATGCTGGTCACAAATGCATTACGTTGGTTTTGTCATGACGCGGCTCAAATTATTACACATTCTAAGTTGATACATTAATCCTGAGAAAGTTATCCAGCAAGCTAACAGAATGTTGGTAGTTCTACTCGGCAGCCGGATTGTGCGTGACATGATTTACAGAAGTGCACCTGAGATCTTCCTCCACCAGTAAAGCTGGAATGTTGCCATATGACCTATACTGTGTTGGTGCAACATTATACCCAATTAAAGAAAGAAAAAAATTAAACCTGTTCAATAATCATTAGAAAGAATGCTTAATAAAACCTTCAATATCCAGCAAGGTTTCTTTAAGTTGGAAGTTCTTGAGGTGTGCAGTGTATCACAACGGCTGTATTTTTTTTCCTGCCACCATATTTCAAGATGGAGGTGAAAATGGGCATAAAGTAGCAAGTTTCTCCTTTATCCTGTCACATTGTACTTGCTGCTTCTACATGGGATCTAAATGTATTGATAATTACATGTCTAATATTAGGATACTTTGACCACCGTACTTGTATGCAATTTGAACTCGATTGGACAAGGATATTTAGGTTAAACAAAAAGATTTTCCTGTGAGAGGTTTCAATTTCTTGACTGACATTTTAGATATTTGGTAAATAGTTATTAGCCAAGTGTAAAACTGAAGGTTAAGGGACCTTAGAACTGGTCTCAAAGTTAAACAACTTCTTTCCGGATCTCAGGTTTTCCATTGGTTAGTGTACATTCTGTTGGAGTTTCTGACCAATCAAATATCTAAGATCTAAGTTTGAGGTTGGAGGATTTCTTTATAACCTCTGAGCCTGTTTTGTTTGTGAGACAGTATCTAAATGAATGTTAAGTAGTCTACCTTTTATATTTTATATTCCTGGTATGAAATAATACATACAAATATCGTTCATATTCTTTTATCACATGACGCATTTCGACCAATCACAATCAGGATATTTATAGAATGATAAATTAATATATGATCATTTATGTGTATATTTATATTTACAATATTTCAGGATGCGACAGTTCGGATATGGGACACAGTGTTGTCACAGTGTACAGTTTGTATATCGGGGCATTTACAATGTGTGACATGCGTGAAATGGGGCGGGACAGACCTGTTATATACAGCTTCACAAGATAGAACTATTAAAGTCTGGAAAAGTGATGTAAGTTTGTGCAGATTTATGAAATTAAGATATTTTTTAAAGGTTAAAAATTTATTCTATAAATGTAGGTTTAAATGGAGTGAAAAGTGCTGGAAATGATGTACTGATGGGAATCCAAGAAGTTCTCTGCTAGTAAAACTAAAAAAGCTGTATGATATTAATAAACCACTTTCAATATCTTTCACCTACAGTAATTAGGGGCACCTAGTGGCTGAAGGGTTGCCTTTAAGGTTGATCGTAAGAGGCGACTAAATGGGTTCAAATTACTGGAGTCTATGAATCTCTTAGTTCCAGCAGGTGAGGTGGTTTTGACCCGTGGTGTTGCTTTAAGTTTGTAACATCCAAGGATAGCTAAAATCTTCTTTCATATTTTGGCGCCATATGACCTGAATTGTGTTGGTGCTTCATAAAACCATCCCAAACAAACAAACAAAACTAATTAAGGTAATAATTATATACATGTATCTAAATAGCAAATATAATTCTGTAAAAATCACCGTTATGCAGAGGGGCAGTGTTAATCCCAGAATAAACTGTTTAAGAATGTGAATAATGCATATTTAAATATAAAACAGAATCAAACATTAAAATATTATAATTACTATCTTATACACGTTAATTGATTTAGGGAATGTTATGTCGGACATTACAAGGTCATGGTCACTGGGTAAACATTCTAGCACTGAGCACAGATTATGTAATGCGAACAGGTGCTTTTGATCCAAGGGATGATGAGCAGGTGTATGGAGAACAGACATTATCAAGTAAGTTTTATTTTATTTTTTATATTTGTAATGTCATATACATGTACTGGTAAAAAAAATAAAAAAACAAACCTTTGTTAGCCTAGTTGAAATATGAATTTTTTTATTTTTATAAAATACCTTGGTTTAAACATATTTATTTAAGTTCGATTGGCAAACAAGTTATGACAGCATATATTTATCACTTTCGAGTCCACTTCCTGGAACCAGCCAGTACTGGTGTCATATGAGGAAACATGGTCTTGACCAGATTAGGGCTCGAACCCATCATTGCTGGGTTGAGAGGCAGTCATGCTAACCATTACACCCTGCTGCCCTTATAAATAGCCATGTTTGTGATAAAAGCTTGAGGCTCATAAGAGGCACTCTTGAGACCACTTTCTTGACCGTACTTGTATTTGTGTCAAATGAGTAAAATATAAATGATCATGACCATGGTATGTTAGATTAGTTATGTCCTCAGTTTATTTTATTATGTCTCCCCCACCTCGGGGGGAGACATATTGTTTTTGCCCTGTCCGTCCGTCCGTCCGTCCCGTCCGTCCGTCAGTCTGTCAGTCCGTCAGTCCGTCCGTCCATTCTTCGTTTCCGGACGATAACTAGAGTTCCTTTTGACCTACAGCTCTCAAACTTCATAGGATGAATGGTCTTATTGAGCAGATGATCCCTATTGTTTTTGGGGTCAGTAGTTCAAAGGTCAAGGTCACAGTGACCTTTGGTCAATTTCTCGTTTCCGGATGATAACTAGAGTTCCTTTTGACCTACAGCCCTCAAACTTCATAGGATGATTGGTCTTATAGAGCTGATGATCCCTATTGTTTTTGGGGTCAGTAGTTCAAAGGTCAAGGTCACAGTGACCGTTGGTCAATTTCTCGTTTCCGGATGATAACTAGAGTTCCTTTTGACCTACAGCCCTCAAACTTCATAGGATGATTGGTCTTATAGAGCTGATGATCCCTATTGTTTTTGGGGTCAGTAGGTCAAAGGTCAAGGTCACACTGACCGTTGGTCAATTTCTCGTTTCCGGATGATAACTAGAGTTCCTTTAGACCTACAGACCTCAAACTTCATAGGATGATTGGTCTTATTGAGCAGATGATCCCTATTGTTTTTGGGGTCAGTAGTTCAAAGGTCAAGGTCACAGTGACCGTTGATCAATTTCTCATTTCCGGATGATAACTAGAGTTCCTTTTGACCTACAGCCCTCAAACTTCATAGGATGATTGGTCTTATAGAGCAGATGATCCCTATTGTTTTTGGGGTCAGTAGGTCAAAGGTCAAGGTCACAGTGACCGTTGGTCAATTTCTCGTTTCCGGATGATAACTAGAGTTCCTTTTGACCTACAGCCCTCAAACTTCATAGGATGATTGGTCTTATAGAGCAGATGATCCCTATTGTTTTTGGGGTCAGTAGGTCAAAGGTCAAGGTCACAGTGACCGTTGGTCAATTTCTCATTTCCGGATGATAACTAGAGTTCCTTTTGACCTACAACCCTCAAACTTCATAGGATGATTGGTCTTATTAATCAAATGATCCCTATTGTTTTAATGGTCAGTAGGTCAAAGGTCAAGGTCACAGCGACGGTTGCAGTGGGGGAGACATGCGCTTTTTTACAAAAGCATCCTCTAGTTTTAAATAGAGATTGCTTTTAAAACCTCATACTGTCATCAATGGGAAATTTGTCACTGACCTTATTTTTTGTCACATAGACTGCATAAACATGTTGCGTATGAAAACTATGCTGAAAGTCTATGCTGAGAGAAATCCTGAAATATGCATCATCTTTAAAATATCACAACCAAAATATAGCTTTTAGGACTGGTGATAAAGTGGTTATGGAGTCTGCTTTACACCCAAGGGGTTGTTGGTGAGAACCCAACTTGGGTCATATGTTACCAGTATTTGTTAGCTGATGAATGAATAAATCAAGTAACATACATGCTTTGTTTACAAGCAAGGTAAATAGGCTTAATATAAGACTTGATAAAGTTGTTTTAAATCAAAGCACAGACAGGGCTGAATTTGTTTGGGTCTCGGAATGTCAGAAAGGTGAAGGTTGTGAGATTATAAACCAATTTGTTTTTGTATAGTGCCACCAATGCTTTCCAGCGTTTTAATTGTAGTAAATTGGCTATAAGACTAATTGCAACACTGATATTCAATCCAATGTTTATTTGACTTAAACAATTTGAAAAAAAAATGAGTTGCCTTTACTAGGATTTGAACTCCAGACCTCTCGCTTCCTATGCGAGCACGCAAACCCCTCAGCCACGGTGAATTTATATTTTCATGGCCTGAAGAAAACCATATTATGCTGAATTAGGGTTTGTAACGACGGTTACTGTTGTTTAACACTTGTGTAAATAATCATGGCGCATACTATAAGCATATATATCTGTAAAGAATAAAACAATATTAGAAATCTTCGACCATTCGGGAATTATTTTGCTTGAAAATTAATGCGCCTGTCATTTGACCATCTTTACGCAGTGATCTTCCCTGAATTTTTCGGCATTAGTGTATATACGAGGGTTGTCCCAAAAGTCCGTGACAAATTTTATAGACGATTCATTTTTAACGCCAATAGAAAATAATTCACATATATAACCTCAAAGTTTATTATTTAACATAACAACAAATCATTTACAAAAAATTTACTCTAGTTACTTAAAAATTTTCAGTATTAACAAAATTGGTTTGAGTTACCGGCGCACGTCAAATAGTTTGCATTTTGTTATGAATAGGCTAAACTTAATTACGTATACAATGTATTTCAAATATCTGATGATGTGTCTGCACAAGGTCACGTTGACTTCCTCTGCTAATATGTTTACATCATCTCAGAAAATTTTATTTAAATAACTTAAGAAGCGAAAAAGATACGAATAAATGAAAATATCTCATATAAAATAGGAAAGTTAAAATGGCGGCGTTCGAAGAATTTGCGGCGCAGTGAACAGGTCACTCAGGTTTTATGACTATTTCGAGATGACACATGTTACGATTTTCAACAAATATACCAAATAAAACAGTTTAGCAACATGCCCTGAGCATTTGTGTACAAAAGGCATGAATGGAACCAGAGTTTTGCGCTACAAAAAGCGAAAATAAGGAAAACAAGGATAGGAAGAGCGATCTTCGTCGCCTATTTCCTACAGCAACAGACAGGTGCAACGAAACCGGAAGTTTGCGTATAGGAAAAATTAATGTATGCCATTCAAACATTCAACAGACATTAACAACATCATGATTTGGGTCTGTAATTGACGATTTATGGGTAAAGCTGCACCATTATTGCGTTTAAAGCCATTGAGAGTATTTGAGAAAGGCGCCTTATATAGATTAAACGCCGTCTTTGACGTTTGACGTGCGCCGCGATTCAGTTAGTTGCCATGGTGTTTATGACATATTTTTGTTGTTTGTTGATATTTTTATGCCCCCATTTCAAAGAAAAGGGGGTATATTGCTTTGCACTTGTCGGTCCGTCGGTCCGTCGGTCTGTCGGTCCGTCGGTCCGTCGGTCCGTAGACCAAATGGTTTCCGAGTGATAACTGAAGAACCCTTAGGCCTAGGAACTTCAAACTTGGTATGGTGACTGGTCATGACCAGTAGATGACCCCTATTGATTTTGGGGTCAAGGGGTCAAAGGTCAAGGTCACATTGACCTTGTAAGCAAAAACGGTTTCCGATCAATAACTAAAGAACCTTAAGGCCTAGGAACTTCAAACTTGGTATGGTGATTGGTCATGATCAGTAGATGACCCCTATTGATTTTGGGGTCAAGGGGTCAAAGGTCAAGGTCACATTGACCTTGTAAGCAAAAATGGTTTCCGATCAATAACTAAAGAACCTTAAGGCCTAGGAACTTCAAACTTTGTATGGTGATTGGTCATGACCAGGAGATGACCCCTATTGATTTTGGGGTTAAGGGGTCAAAGGTCAAGGTCACATTGACCTCTTAGGTGAAAATGGTTTCCGATCAATAACAAAAGAACCCTTAGGCCTAGGAACTTCAAACTTGGTATGGTGATTGGTCATGACCAGCAGATGACCCCTATTGATTTTGGGGTTAAGGGGTCAAAGGTCAAGGTCACATTGACCTCTTTGGTAAAAACGGTTTCCGATCAATAACAAAAGAACCCTTAGGCCTAGGGACTTCAAACTTGATATGGTGATTGGTCATGATCAGTAGATGACCCCTATTGATTTTGGGGTCAAGGGGTCAAAGGTCAAGGTCACATTGACCTCTTAGGTAAAAACGGTTTCCGATCAATAACTCAAGAACCCTTAGGCCTAGGAACTTCAAACTTGGTATGGTGATTGGTCATGACCAGCAGATGACCCCTATTGATTTTTGGGTTAAGGGGTCAAAGGTCAAGGTCACATTGACCTTGTAGGTAAAAAAGCTTTCCGATCAATAACTTAAGAACCCTTTGGCCTAGGAACTTCAAACATGGTATGGTGATTGGTCATGACCAGCAGATGACCTATTGATTTTGGGGTCAAGGGGTCAAAGGTCAAGCCACATTGACCTTGTAGGTAAAAACGGTTTCCGATCAATTAACTAAAAACTCTTAGGCCTAGGAACTTCAAACTTTGTATGATGATTGGTCGTGACCAGCAGATGACCCCAATTGAGTTTTGGGTCAAAGGTCAAGGTCACATTGACCTTGTAAGTAAAAACGGTTTCTGATCGATAACTTAAGAGCGCTTAGGCCTAGGAACTTCAAACTTGGTTTGGTGATTTGTCATGACCAGCAGATTACCCCTATTGATTTTGGGATCAAGGGGTCAAAGGTCAAGGTCACATTGACCTTGTAAGTAAAAACGGTTTCTGATCAATAACTAAAGAACGCTTAGGCCTAGGAACTTCAAACTTGGCATGGTGATTGGTCATGACCAGCAGATGACCCCTATTGATTTTGGGGTCAAAGGTCAAGGTCACATTGACCTTGTATGTTAAAACGGTTTCGGATCAATAATAAAAGAACCCTTAGGTCTAGGAACTTCAAACTTGGCATGGTGATTGGTCATGACCAGCAGATGACCCCTATTGATTTTGGGGTCAAGGGGGTCAAAGGTCAAGGTCACATTGACCTTGTAGGTAAAAACGGTTTCTGATCAATTAACTAAAAACGCTTAGGCCTAGGAACTTCAAACTTTGTATGATGATTGGTCGTGATCAGCAGATGACCCCTATTGAGTTTTTGGTCAAGGGGTCAAAGGTCAAGGTCATGACCAGTAGATACTTGATAACCCTTATTAATTGTTTGATCACTGGGTCAGAAGTCATGCATAATAACCTTATCACATGACTAATTGGCTGCTGATAGGGGGCATACATGTTTTACAAACATATCTTGTTCTATGTAAATTTGCGAAAATGTTTCAATTATAAGGGTTTATAACATATTAAAATATCAAATTCGTACCCGTTTTATTTAGCTTTTAAACAATATTGTCACAGAATATTGGGACAACCCACGTATAAAGGGAAGCAATCAACAGCATTAGAGTCTGAAATTTCGCTACCATTATTTGTTTGGTCTGACAACCCAAACAAATAAAAACTGGTCATGTCATTGATGGGATAAAACACAAGCAAATGATAATTGAAGTAGTTTTATTATGCTTCTATGATTGACTGCAATTGTAATGAAATATCACAAATGGTTTTCATGAACTACTATAGCCATTTTGAGAATAATTCTCATGAACTCGCCACTGTAAAGAAAATAAATGTAGTCCTCATTAACTTGTCATGGTAAACAAATGAAAGTAAATGTAGCTTTCATAAAATTATAATTTAGTAGCTCGCATAATTTTTTAAATTGTAAAGAATAAAAGTACCGGTAGCTATCATAAACTTTCCATTCTAAGGAAATGAAAGTAGCTCTCATAAACTTGCCATTGTTAAGAAAATGAATGTAGCCCTCATAAACTTTTTGGTGTAAAGATAATGAAAGTGCATGTAGCTTTCATAAACTTTCCATAAAAAGAGAGTGGCTTTCATAAACTTGACATTGTAAATTATTTAGAGTACCTCTTATTAACTGGCCATTGAAAAAATATTACAGTATCTCTCATTCACTTGCCATTGTAAAATAATGAGAGTAGCTCTCATAAACTTGCCATAGTCAAAATATTACAGTATCTCTCATTCACTTGCCATTGTAAAATAATGAGAGTAGCTCTCATAAACTTGCCATTGTAAAAAATTGAGAGTAGCTCCCATAAACTTGTGATTGTGTGATTGTAAAAAAATGAGAATATATATTATAAACTTGCCATTGTAAGAAATGAGAATAGCTCTCATAAACTTGCAATTGTTAAAAAAAAATAAGAATACCTCTCATAAACTTGCCATTGTAAAAAATGAGAATACCTCTCATATACTTGCCATTGTAAAAAAAAATGAGAATACCTCTCATATACTTGCCATTGTAAAAAAAATGAGAATACCTCTCATAAACTTGCCATTGTAAAAAATATGAGAATACCTCTCATAAACTTGCCATTGTTATGTAAAAGAGAAAAGCTCTCATTAAATCTTGCCCTTGTAATCAATGGAGAGCAGCTCACATAAAACTGCCATTTTAATGAAATGGGAATAGCTCAGATAAATGCGCCATTGTAATGAAAATGAGAATTTCTCTGAAGATCTTGCTATTTTAAAGATGAAATGGGAATGATTATCATTACAATGTATAGGAATGAGTAATAACTTATGTAATCTAACCATTTGAAATAGAAAGGTATTAGTTCTAAGGAACATGCCATTTCAAAAAAGAGAAAAGAATTATTTCATGAACTTGCCATTGTACAGAAAACAAAAAGTTTCCATTGTGTGTTAAAAGTAATAAAATTAGCACTTATACTCATGAAATCGAAAAGTTGCCATGGTGATAAAAATAATTAAAATAACACTTAAGTTCATGCAAATGTGAAGTTGCCATGATGATAAAAGTAATTTAAATAGCACTTACATGTATACTCATGAAAATGAGAAGTTGCCATGGTGATAAAAGTAATAAAAAATAGCACATATACTCATGAAAATAAGAAGTTGTCATGGTGATAAAAGTAATTAAAATAAAACTTATACTCATGAAAATGAGAAGTTGCCATGATAATAAAAGTAATTAAAATAGCATTTATACTCAAGAAAATAAGAAGTTGCCATGATGATATTCATAAAGGTACATGTAATTAAAAAAGCACATATACTCATGAAAATGAGAAGTTGCCATGGTGATAAAGGTAATCAAAATAGCACTTATACTAATGAAAACAAGTTGCTCTGACAATAAAAGTAATGAGAATAGCACTTATACTCATGAAATTGTCTTACACATGCCAATTTCATAAGTAAAAATATATTAATAGAATGTTTGTCTTAAAGTTCCTATGTCAGTATCGGAAAAGTATTGAATGATAGGCGATTTTTCTATGACAACAGCACTAGTTTATATGTCATACATTATACATGTACAATGAAAATGTAAAAAATTATCTCAAAAGATACTGCTTGGATAGTTGAATAAAATATTTACAATTGATTAAAAAAATAAATTAATTAATAAAATTATGACTTAAAAAGTGCTGTAACTGCTATAAAAATATTCAAGGTAACTTGAAATAAATTTTTTCATAAAATTAATGATAATGTTCAAAAGAATATGATTTTATTAATCAATCAATCAATCAAACAGTCAATCAATCAATCATTCAATCAATCAGTTAAAAAATCAATCAATCCAATTATTATGATTAAGGAATGATTAAAGTTGAGGAGTTAATTACACAATACTGCTATAGAAGTGTCCAGATGTGGCGCTTGACTTCCGGTACTCTTGCAGTAAGCAAAACCAGTCTTCCATACATCGATGATATCTTCAAGACTCTTGGAATGGTAAAATTCCACCGGATTTGCACCGGATTGGATCACATGATTTGTCTGGTTAGTACCTTTTCCTACCCTGAAGTAATGAAGGGCGGCAACTTTACTGTTTTTGGATCTGTCCTTGAGGTTGTTATTGATGACAAAGTTGGGGGTTTCACAATTTGTAGAAGAGCTGTATTGGACTTTGATGTTATATTTAATGTCACCAAATATAAGACTTGGGACCGACGGTTTGATATAGTGGAATTTCAGCACATATTGGTTAAATGGAGCAGAAATGTACGTCGCACAGTTTGTTCCGATGGTAATTGTTTTACCGCTCCGATCCATTGTGAAGCATTCCTTGACTTGCATAGAGCCACTTACGTCACTTTCCCATATTACTACTTTCGTCGGACCAGTTGCCGTGTCATATTGTATTTTGATTGTTCTGTCAATCTTTTCATTTTTTATATCATTGATTTTGAACAATCGGACAAGGTTTAACTGTTCGGCAGAAGTGACTGAAGTTGAGTCCCAGTCAAAAAGCTCGTGAGCAAAGAAGATGTTTACATCCTGGAAATATTTCTGATCATCATACTCGCCCTCGACCACACTGTGAGGGATTTTGAAATTCAAACTTCCATCGGGATTTCGTTCAGACTGTGTAAACATAAAGATAGTTATAGCGCCTCCTAGTGTTAGTATGAGAGCTATCATAATAAATACTCTATAAACAACGTGCCGCCTCGATTCAGGATTGACACGGGCACACTGAAGGTCATGCCGAGCCTTTTTACCGCAATACCGTACTAAAGAGACAATTATCCTGATGACCGCACCTATTATTATCACAGACGCCTTTACAAGCTGAAAATAACTTATTGCCTCTTCACGACAAGCTACGATGACAACGTTGATTGTTATTTGGGGGACGTCCTCTATCCAGACAGTAATGGCTGAAAGTAGGTCAACGTCGATCCAAGGATCATCGCGGAAAATTTCCCACCATAAATTTATGATTTCAAAAGTGAATGTTAATGAACCGATTATTGAGAATGTGAGTAGCAGGTAGCGTATCACATCCTCCGGTGGTCCGTAAACCAGCCCTTCCTCGGCACCAGCGACATCTGCATAAAGTAGCCAATCACTGACAAGATCCACGGCATCGAGAACAAATACGGCCAAGAACACAACCAGTTTAAAACAAAATTTGTCATGGAGTGTTCTGCAGCACGGAATGCTTGAGACCATGCTGCCTGACTTGGGCCTATATGCACACACTTCCTGCATCTCCATTTTCTCTATTGGAGTTATCTGCCCATTTTTCTTTCTTCCTGACATGGCTGTTTGAATTGTTGGTGCGTCCTTAAGTCAGGTGGGCCTTGTCTGTAAAAGAAAAAAAATCTAAGTAAATTGTGACGTTTTTTGTTTTTTTTTCATTTGAATATTTACAACACTTTCAATGTATCTGCTTTCGTTAAAGCTTTTTTTTTTTAGAAGGTTTTTGGATGTTAAATATATCTATTATCCTGTCAAAGATTTCATTTTCTAAATAAGTACAGTACAATAAAAAGAAATGTGATATTTCATATTTGCAGAGTGGATTGATCAAATCATAAACTTTTTATATGAGCATGTTGTTTCATTTAGAAGAACATGACATTGTAGTCATGAACAGGCTCCATGTAACCGAGCCAGCAACATTTTATATTTTGCTGGGTTGGGCTTTCTGTAGGGATTCTTGTTCTCTCTATTTTTCCACAGATTTGACTAGTAATTGAAAAGGAAGTCTGTCTGATAATCCCAGTAGATAGTTTATTAACTTTAAAAATCATTGATTGACCAGTTTAAGTCATGGGTGTGACCCATATTTTGTGAAACATTTTTGTTTTATAACAATAAATATTGATCCATTCATCAGTAATTTTTCAAAATTGAATAATTTAGGTAGAGATTTCGGCAATTGGTAGTTTCTTGTTGAAAATCTGGTAAGAACTAGAGCTGTCATTGATTCATTGCAAAGTATATTGACGATACATTGATATCGGATGACAAATAATTTGGATACACCAATATATTGATACATACTCCTAATTTCTTGTATATATAATCACTTTCATACCTGTTTAAATGATTTTAGTAAGATATATGTTTTGCTCATACAAATATGTTGTGTCCAGTTTATAAATGTTCTTTGCATGATTTTTTTCTTAACCATTTTTTGTCATCACCGCTATGTAATGTTTCAATTATATAACAACAGCTTAGTGTTAGACATGGCCACCTGTTTTTGTATATTTTTTGGATGAATTTTCATAATTCATAGACATTAAAATAATAAATCAAAATAATCGATTTTTTCAAATGTGTATCCGTTATTGATCGACAGAGAAATATCAATGATACATATATATCATTTCTATGGATGACAACTATAGTAAGTACTGGCAAAAAAGGAGATTTAAATGATTCATTTATTTATAATTTGACGTTGAAAGAAATAAAATTAAATGTATAAAATTAGATAATACTGATGTCTTTTTGAAAAATTTTGAAAATATCTTTTTCACCAGGAATATACAGATTTCTCTAGTAAACACGGAATTGAATTTTGGGATATCATATTCTAATAACATTTAGCCTAAACTAAAGTCAACTTGAATATGTGTCTACCCATAGATCAGGCGTATCCTCAATATGAACCAGTAGGTGAAAGTTGTCAGGATGAGCTGTTAAATTAAGGAATTTGAGGATTAATTAAATTTCCAGTTAGAATTAGATACCTAACTTGAATCTATATCAATAAAATTGAATTAGGTACCTATCTATATTCTATATTCTATATTTACAAAATTAAATTAGATTACCTATCTCTTAAAGACAAAATTTTATGTTTAAAGGAACTCCACTGAGGTTCAAAAGCCTAAAATCATAAAAAAAATTTTTTTTACACAGATCAGCTGGGGCACGTAAAACAGGAAGACATGAAAAAATAATTAAGAAATTTACTATTTACTCAGAAATGAATTGAAAAGCCTATTTTTGTGACATTTTTGATATGATTTGAGTGAAAAGCGTTTAAACGCTTTTCAATTTTGGGTCATTTTTCACTGCTTGAATAATTACCCTAGATAAACCGAGAGAGCAAATGATCTAAAATTTTGCACACAAGTTACTGATCTAGACCTTCATCAAACTGAGCATTTATCTCGAAAAAATATTTCCAGTCTCGTCATGTCAAAAAACCTCAATAAACATGTTTATTTTATGTTTTTATTTGAAATAAAAAACATAAATTTAACATACCTTTCCATGTTTTAACAATTTTTATATCGCAGAAATTAAACTCTCCTGGTAAAGTAAGTTACTAATAATAAAAAGACCTAACACATTTTGCTTATCAGAAAAGTTAGGCCAGAATAGATTAGAGATTTGTTTGTGATTCCTAAACCCTATATTGATAGTCAATTTAAATTAATGTTCTTCTGAATCGTTTCACCGCAAGCTGTATAATAGAATTTTATAGAGATATATTTTTAGATTCAAATGTCATTTGATCTTTTGAATCTTTTTATTTTTATAAGATCCATTTTTAAAGCAGAAAAAAGCCGTCAAGATGGTTTAAGGTGTTAAATCCATTTGTAACTTGCATTATCTTTGAGAACTTTTTGGTTAACTTTGCAAATTATTTCTAATGTCATATATCTACTGATATGCAAGAGGTTTTGTTTTGTGTTTCTCTTGAACATTATAACGGCATAAATTTGATTTTTTATTGGACTTTGATGAAATACGCAGCATGCATTCAAACAGAGGCTGTAGCATTCTACCTTTAAGCTACATACATACAGCTAGATGAGTAAAAAGATTTTCAAGGACTTAACAAGAATATTTCAGGTGTTAAAATAAGTACAAATATATATAAATTTTCCAACTCTTTGTCTTTTCACAAAATTGACTTTCTTGAATTTTTATGCCCCCACAGAGTGGGAGCATATAGCGTTGCACTTGTCCGTCTGAGTGTCCGTACGTCTGTCCGTCCGTCTGTCTGTCCGAGCAAACATTTGATTATTATGAGCTTCATTCCGTAGTTAAATAAAGAACAAAAACTCATAAAATTCAAATTAAGAGCTATTTTTTTGTTTTTATGAGCTTATTTTGCTTATGGACGTTGGTCCAGGTGGTGTTTATGAGCTGATTTGCCTCATAAACATCAAAAGTTGGTATGTCCGTACGTCCCGAAAGGAAGGAATTTTTGCTGCGACCAAATTTAACAGAATTATGGCCCTTTGTTGATTTTTTCACTACATACTATGTAGAAATTTTGTGAACGCAACTCCTCTTAAACCGGATGGCAGATTTTGCTTAAACTTCCAGGGATGAACAACCTTAATGTGTAGATGGTAGTAAAGGAAGGAATTTTTGCTGCGACCAAATTTAACAGAATTATGGCCCTTTGTTGATTTTTAGTTTTCAACTTGTGGCACATGTAGTCCAAAAAATATTTGACCTTAGAGTCATAAGATTGACAGAACAGTGGCGTGTGGGGGCATCCGTGTCCTATGGACACATTTCTAGTTTTTACTCGTCTGGAGACTTGCAGCTTTAAATCTTTTTATTCAGACATTTGATGAGAATTTTTCTGTTTGGAACACTTAAAAAACAACAACACAAACTAAAAGCATGGATCTGGAGATGAGTTGCTGTAAAGTGTTTTAAAAGAGCTTTCAGAAATAGTGTTGTTTGATATTTTTATTAGATATTATAATGAACACTGAGGGAGAATTTCCTTTGTATGGATATAATACATATAGTTCTCTATTGATTCCTATTAGTTATTTATATCACAAGTAGATGACATGCTGATTTTGTTACCATGACAACACATTATGTGTATGAAATATGTGTTTTTTTAAAGGGGTAGTCCATTATTATTTCTATTTTTTTTTAAACCAAATTAAGGATAGAAAAATTTTCATCCAGTCAAATACTCATTGTAATTTTTCAGAGGTTTCTCGTATGTTTCATTAGTGCCCATGAAAAGAAATGAATTTTCAATTGTAAAGGGAGGTAATTGGAAATAAATTTCAATTGTCAAGGGAGGTAATTGGAGATGAATTTCAATTGTCAAGGGAGGTAATTGGAAATGAATCTCAATTGTCAAGGGAGATTATTGGAAATGAATTTCAATTGTCAAGCGAGGTATTTGGAAAGTAATTTCAATTGTCACCGGAGGTAATTACCAGTAATTGTTCTATACATTTTATTTTGAAACTGCTGAGAGATCATTTTTGCTGGGTAATCGAACATTATTTTGTGCTGTCCTTAATGGTAGGATTGTTCTATCAAATCTGTGGAAAAATATGAAATTGGATCAACATAATTACTTGTGTTTTGAAACAAATAAATGATTAATTTTCAAGTGCCGTAACTCCTGTTGTTAAAACATTACTTAAATTATTTTCCTTTTTGTAAGACTTTGTCAAGTAGATTCTTGATGTTCTTTTGTTGTTGTCTTTTGTTGTTGATAATTTAGTTATTAAAATGAATCTACAATGAACTTATATTGTTGTAAAAAAGGAAATAAATTGGAGTAAATGTAAGGTTTTTTTTTCCTATTTGATTATTATTATTTAAGTGGGTTTAAGTATTTCTCACGCGCAATTATCCAGCTTTTTAACCATATTTACTAATAAGTACCCTTAAAAAAAATGAAAAAGTTCATTAAAGAACATGATTATTAGTTTAAGGGTCAAAAGAATGATGTCTACCTAACACTTTAAATTTTGCAGCAAATGTTTTTAGGAGCAACAGGTTCAGATGGTAGCCAGTGACTATGATAAAAAAACTTTTAAATAAACATGCATAGTGAAGATATTATCACCTTAAAAGAAAAAAAATCTCACAAACCAAATGATTAATACTCAATGTTCACCAAGAAGAAAAAGACCATATCACAAAACATAAGTGCCTATAAGATTAAAAATGGAACCTCGTTGGAGTTTCAAGACGTTAATTAAATATGGTTGCTGTTTACAGAATATTTGTTTTGGTGAACATTTAGTGCACTGTCTTTTCTTTTATATTGACAAAGTTGTCATGTCTTATCAGTAGCGATTAGGTCAGATTGATTTGCAGGATTTCGATTGCCGCTGACTTTATCATCGACAAAGTCACTCCACCCTGCGTGAAACCTGGTTTTATTCCGAATTCAGTGCAATACTGTATTAAAAAGATCTTTAGATTTATTGAGTTGAAATAGTGTTGTGTAAAAGCTGAAATATGATAAAGTTTAGCCCATTTATTGAAGAATTGGAGAAAAATTGGGCCTCAAATGCAAGTGATTATCAGAAATTTTTGTTTGGGTTTAAAGTCAGTCCAACTTTGTTAATGTAATATGGCAACTTTCCAGGTTTACTGGTGGAGGGAATCAGACCTCAGGTGCTCCTCCATGCTTTATATTAGTCAACAAGTAGGCACCTGAGTAAAACTACGGAATGATTTTTTTGCATAATCATACTTTTTTGTGTTTCAAAGTTTTGCAATAGTATGCTGTCTTGTAGGTTCTTTCACTGCAAATTCAGGCATAGTACCACCATGTAGTGACACCTCAAGTTTCAATAGCATCAATCCATATGTTTTAATGGGATATCTGTGGCCAAGTAGCTAAGGCCTTTGACACTTACAACCACTAGCGTGGGTTAGAATCCTGCCAGGGACATTGGATTCTTTCGTAAATCTCCCCCACCTTGTGCCTGAAAAAATGCACTGAGGTCTTCCTCCAACAGTAAAGTTGAAAAGTTGCCATCTGATGTTAACAGTCTTGTGTGACATAAAACCCATTTAAAAATGGAAAAGATTGTTTGTTTGTTTTTTAAAAGCATAAAGTCAGAAGTAAGTTGTTGAAAATCTCAATAACAATTAAATTTTGATTGTCAAAAAGTATTATTTATTTTTCTCAAAAAATATATAATTACCATTACATATTGATGCAAAACTATGTTCAAAAACAAAGCATTTAAGTTTATGCATTGTTTCAAACACAATTCATCCCTCGAGGCTATCCTCCATAGATCATTTAAATTTTGTTCACATGTATGAAAAAAATTAACACATTCGTTTCGTTTCCGAAGTAATTCCAGACAGCACAGTTTGACATGAATGTCAATTTTTTATAAAACATCTGTATATAAACCGTGATAGGTATATGAGCCGAAATAAATATTTATATGTCAATATCTGTCCATAAACGTCCCCGTCCTATGAAAGTTAGTATATGTCTATATCGAGACAGTGTAATGAGCTGGATACATAATATTAATAGCTAATTAGATGGGTTTGTTATAATATATAGGCAAATACTTGTCCGTATTTAATCTAGATGAGCATAATAAACATTGTGTAATGATAAAATTAATGAATTACCTGACAGATCGAAGGTCAAATACAGATTAACATCCCTATGCCATTATTATGCAATGTATCCAGATGTCTTGATGTTGTTGTTTTGTTTCAAATTAAATAAAAAAATTAAAGTTTTTATCAGTTTAGTTATGTCTGCTACATCCAAATCAAAGGATACTGTTCCAAATCATTATTAATTTTTCCTTTTCCAATTTATTTAAAGTACCGGTTACAGTTTACCAAATCATGCACAGATTTTTACATCATGCTTTTCCAAGTAGTTTGATATTTTGTAGATTTGGAAGATTTCTTGTAAATTATATAATGTTTTAAAAAAAAAAATTTTTCAATTAAGAAAAGTTTTTTCCGGGTGTTTTATATATCCCAAATTATTTCATACCTATCTAAATTATATGATGAAGTTATGCATATATACTTTCCAAATTTTATTCCTCTTCTCCGCAGAGCTGATCTATCTCTGTTAACTTCATCTGTTGACGGGAGACTATGATTTTACACACTAAGTTGATCATTTCCCTTCTGACACCATTAAACAATTAATCTAGGATTTAAAAGTTTGAGATTTATTAAAAGGTCTTTATCTGGAATTTTTAAATTTATCTAAAATTTCAAGCCAGGTACCTACCACTCATGGCTACTTAAAAATGTCCTGATTATAGAAAACTTGATCATTGATTCCTTTTAAGCCAATAAATATCTATAATATTATACATCTATCACCAGGCCTTTTTCTGCTGTAAAATTTTAACTTTAAATTTAGAATTATAGTTTTAAAAAACTTGACTTGGTGTTATTTATGGGTAATTTACCTTCAGCGTGCTTGCAAATTATTTCTACCATCAACAACAAGGCCCAAGAGCAAGATTAGCTGGCACAAATCTTGCTTCGGATCTGGTCGCACCTTTGCTTTCATATAATTTCATATCATCAATTTTGGCGCAGTAAAACTGGTTAAGTCCTTGTAATTTTTAATAGGAGTTTACCAGTTTTGCACTAAGGTGATGATGATCCTTAAAAAATGAGAATTTTTTCCAGAAATGAAAGAAATTTGGGCAAGTTCATTTCTATCTGCTTCTATATTGAAATCCCTTGAAGTGAGAAGGACTGTTCCAAATTTTAAAGCAGACCAGTCCATTATACAAATTTGGTGCTGTAAAGGTATTGAGACCAAAAAGCTGTAATTTAATATTTTGTCTCTTTTACTAAATATATTAAGATACAATATTCACTGGGATGACAGATTAATGTAATTAATTTTGTAAAATATTGCTTTATTACCACTAATGACACATGATTCATGATGTGTAGGAATGTGAACACAAGGTCTTTCTCTTTGAAGTTATTATTTAGTGTTTTAAATAAATAACTTTGTTGAGTTGTAATTTATTGGTGTTCATTAAAGTGTATAAAGCTATATATCTGCTGTAAAAATATTGTTTGAATTTTAAAGAAGAATATTTCCAAACAAATATGTTAGTAAATTGCCTTAAAAACGAATGGTACATGCACTAAATCATGCTATAAATAAAAAATATTTGGAATAATATTTTTTTCTGGAACATTTTTTTCTGTATACTTACAATATTTATGTGTGTTATTGTTTATTACAACTCTTTCTTTTAAAAATGGTCCATAATAATATGGAAACAATATAATTTTACTGTTTATTAATTTTATAGAAATATTTCATTAGATACAGCTTTATATTCTGTAAGTCTTGTATGTACGGTAGTCTTGTATTTTTTCTAGCAACATTTTATATAAATTGAATATCCAAATGTTGATATATATATATATTTTTTTTCAATATTTGAAATACTTATTGAAAACATGCCTTATCTTAAAGAAAAATCCTCTTTAAAGACGGACAAGTCCTCTTAAGATATTTATCATAGAAAGGGTTGATTTTAATTTAGCATCAGAAAATGAAAGAACATTCAGTTTATGTAAATTGTTTTTTAATTACAAGGGAAGTTTAGTATATTAAATGCATGGATAATAGAGCTAAATACAGCCTGTGCTTATGTACTATAATGGAAGATATACTGCAAAATCATTATTATTCCTAGGGCACTAATTTTCGTGTATAGGTCAATCCACAAATTTAAGATCAAACGGAATTTTATTTCATCTGCTGTAAAATTATTTTGCTGTACATTATTTATAATTTACCTTTTGAAAATAAATAAACAATCCACAAATTTAAGAACTCACAAAAATATTCTTTGAGACAAAATCACGGAATTACATGCCCACAAAATTAAGTGAATTTACAGTAAACATTTTGAAATATACACAAGTATAGTGATGCTGTCTGATTACGTGGACTGACTTAGGTCATAAGTGAGCTGCAAATGTGCAAGTTCAAGTCCTGAGTTTGTGGTTTACAGTCAAAGAAACTTCATTAAACCTTTACCCTTATAGTTGTGTTTTGACTGCTCTTCACCCGCCCCCCCCCCCCCCCCCTCTTTTTTGAGGCTTCAAATAGTGAAAAAATGTCATATTTGGCCCAAACACTTGTTTTTGTTTTAAAAATATGATGTGCCCCCTTCTGCTTAGAGGTTTGGATGGGGTCAGCAGCCCCCCTCCTCATCTCCAAGAAAATTTTATAGACTTGCGGAGGCTAAAAATGACTTAAGGTTGATCTTAACATAATGTGTTAACCAAAGCTGAAAAGCCTTTGACTCTATCTCAAACCAATGAGAAGTTGCAGCACTTTGAAATCAGTTTTGATAGAAAAAATCAACGCAAAATATTGATTTGGTAATTTTGAGATGTCTCCCATTGCCATGGTAACAGGAAATAAAAGGCTATGGTCCAGTCAACATTTGTGCCAAGTTTGATCAGTATTGAAGCATTTTCTTACATTTTCAAAGCAGTTTGAAATTGTAACAGGAGGCTTTTCAATGAAATCAGCTATTTTTCACAATTATGCTCATACAGTAAAAAGTTAATATATATTCTTCACATCTGAATACAGTAATTTATAAAAAATGATTTGATGAAGTTGGTATACATATGCTTTTAAATTTTGGGGAAAAAAGATAAATAAAACTGATTAAAAAATAATAAAATTTAAAAGCCTTAAAATCCTTTATAAGTGGGGGTTTTAAGTGGTGAAAAAAAAAAAAAGTTTTTTTATGAGAAAAGTTCCTATCTGTAACAATCAACATTGAAAATATTAGTTTATCTGTTTATGTTATGTTTGAGTTTTTTAGCTCACCTTGCACAAAGTGCAGGTGAGCTTTTAGGATGGCCAACCAAATGGCGTCCGTCGTCTGTCGTCCGTCCACATTTTAAATATTCAAAGGACATCTTCTATGATACCGCAAGGCCAATGTTAATGAAACTTGGCAGGAATACTCTTTGTATGAAGCTCTATCAAGATTGTTCAAAGAATTCCATTTCATGCAGAACTCTGGTTGCCATGGCAACCGAAAGAAAATTCTTTAAATATCTTCTTTTAAAGAACCGTAAGAGCTAGAGCTTAGATATTTGACATGAAACATCTTCTAGTGAATGTCTACCAAGTTTGTTCAAATAAAAGCCCTGGGGTCAAAATTGGCCCCGCCCCAGGGGGTCATTGATTTTCCCTATATGCATATAGTAAAAACTTAAAAAAAATCTTCTTTTAAAGAACCCAAAGAGCTAGAGCTAAGATATTTAGCATGAAACATCTTCTAATGAGTGTCTACCAAGTTTGTTCAAATAAAAGCCCTGAGGTCAAAATTGGCCCTGCCCCAGGGGGTCATAGATTTTCCCTATATGCATATAGTAAAAACTAAAAAAATCTTCTTTTAAAGAACCCAAAGAGCTAGAGCTAAGATATTTGACATGAAATATCTTCTAGTGAGTGTCAACCAAGTTTGTTCAAATAAAAGCCCTTGGGTCAAAATTGGCCCTGCCCCGGGGGGTCATTGATTTTCCCTATATGCATATAGTAAAAACTTAAAAAATCTTCTTTTAAAGAACCGTAAGAGCTAGAGCTTAGATATTTGACATGAAACATCTTCTAGTGAATGTCTACCAAGTTTGTTCAAATAAAAGCCCTGGGGTCAAAATTGGCCCTGTCCAAGGGGTCATAGATTTTCCCTATATGCATATAGTAAAAACTTAAAAAATCTTCTTTAAAAGAACCCAAAGAGCTAGAGCTAAGATATTTGACATGAAACATCTTCAAATGAGTGTCTACCAAGTTTGTTCAAATAAAAGCCCTGGGGTCAAAATTGGCCCCGCCCCAGGGGGTCATTGATTTTCCCTATTTGCATATAGTAAAAACTTAAAAAATCTTCTTTTAAAGAACTCAAAGAGCTAGAGCTAAGATATTTAGCATGAAACATGTTCTAATGGGTGTCTACCAAGTATGTTCAAATAAAAGCCCTGGGGTCAAAACTGGCCCGCCCCGGGGGTCATTGATTTTCCTTATATATGTATAGCAAAAAGTTAAAAATCTTCTTTGAAAAAACCCAAATAGCTTGAGTTTAAATATTATACATGAAACATTTTTAAGTAAATATCTACAAAGTTTGTTCAAATAAAAGCCCGGGGGTCAAAACTGGCCCTGCCCCAGGGGTGTCATTGTTTTTAACTATATGTGTATAGTTAAAACTTAAAAAATCTTCTTTTAAAAAACCCAATGAGCTAGAACTTAGATGTTTAGCACGAAGCATCTTCTTATGGGTGTCTACCAAGTCTGTTCAAATAAAAGCCCTTGGGTAAAAATTGGCCTGGGGGGGGGGGGGGCTATATACAGGTGAGCGACCTCGGGGCCATCATGGCCCTCTTGTTTCCCATTTTATGCAGCTTTAAAACAGTGTGTCTCCAGATTCATGATAATTTTCATGAATTTTTGAAAATGTATTTGAAAGCAAAATATTGTTAAGTGAGCAAAGAAAGTAATTTACAACTTGTGTCATGCTATTACATAATCTACGTAAGTAACCAAAAAGTGATCAAAATATGCAAAATTAGCCCTAAGTAAGATACTCAGTGTTAGTAATGCAGCTGTTGAAATATGTGATAAATTATGTAACTGCAAAATCAGTCATTAATCACACATAACATGTAAATTACTACTTGAATCTTGTATCAGTTTACTTTCTCTAAAATCTTCATACATTTTTCTCAAGTTGGATTTTCTTGAAACATTTTGGCTCATCTTTAGGCATGCGGCTTTAATTATTCAGTATTATGATGGCATATTATACCAACTTTCATTTATGATCACAAAATCGTGATTTATTTAAGGAGACTTTATTCAATTACAATTATTACTAAGATTTATGGCATGAAATATTGAGCCACCAAAGCAAATAAAACAGGCAGATATCAGCCTCAGATCATATCTGATATCAGGCCTCTTTTTATATAACAAAAACAAAAATATATAGTGAATGTTATGTTAATTAAACAAAAAACTTACTTTTCACAGCCAGGAAGTTTATTTTTAGCTCCAGCCAATTTCCTTTCTGAAGTATTTATTGCTAATGATGTAGATTTGATTTTTTTTGTTTTATATATAAATATGACTCAAGTACTTATAATAATCTCTGTTATATATGTAGTGGAGATGTTGAAACTTCTTGTATTGTAACATGAGCCGAAAGTGTAAGGTCATGTGCCAGCGTGTGAAATTTGAAGCTATTTGCAGATTCTGAAAGTAAACCATATACCCTCTTATAAGCACCCCCTCTTATAGAAAATTGGTTTAAGTACATATGTATGATGTAATTGAACATAGATGCCATTAAATTGTGTTATATGTTGCCATTGAATTGTATTTTTAGCGCATTGACAGTACGATGAGTACATTAAACAGAGTACGCGAGGTCTTCCTTCACCAGTAAAGCTGAAAAGTTGCCGTTTTACCTATACTGTGTTTGTGTGATGTAAAACCAATAAAAAAAACAACAACAAAAATATAAAAAAAAATAATACTTGATGTCATTAACAGAGATGCCATTATGTTTTCTTATGTTCTTGTATAAATTCGTATTTTTTGAAGAACAAAATTTACCCTTCTTCAGGGAACAGCAACTTTGATATAGATTAATACAGTATTTTAGAAGTAACACCTAATGAATGTTTTCTGGAGAAGACAAAAAATCTAAAATAAAGAGCACTTCATCAATGAATGGTAACTTTTATATGGAATAAATACTGTATTTCAGAAAATGAACGGCAAACTTTATATTGAGTAAGTACGGTATTTCAGATTGGACTTACACGTCACTGAGCGTATGCTTTTACAATGATAGTCAACTAATACTTAAAAAATCTACAATGCATTATGGATCAGTTTAATCAGTTTTCCAGATAAATATTTATTTTATCATATAAGAAAGAAAGATAGAGTTTTAAAACATTTACAACTCAAATATCTTAAATGGGCTTGTCCACCTTTCAGTCTGGGCAAAACCATTTATAATTTTTCTTTGGTAAAATATATCAAGATATCGGGGAAGAGGTATATTTTACCAAAGAAAAATCTGTTTTTATATTTTATTTCCATGCAGTTATATGTACAATATAATAATCTTTTGTGCAAATCCTGATATCTGAATATGAAATAAAATTCCCTTGTCTTAAACTCTAAGACTACACATTTATTACATGCTTTTCGGTGGTTTATAGAAATATATCAGTGATATAAAACTGGTAATTTCACTGTTTGAAGCAGTGAAATTACCACTTTGATAATTTCACTGTTTTTGAATTTAAGCCCCTTACGTTGTTTCAGTGAAATACCAGCGTGCACAGTACTGGGTACCAACTTAATGACGTGACGTCGTAAATGACGTCACGTTGTATTATTATTTGGCGCGCTTTTCATTCAGTATTAGGTTTAATGTCTTTTTAAAACGTTTATTTGCATATAATAAAAAGAAAATTTGTTTAGTTTAGTGTAAGATCGAAATATATTTCACATTGTGAACACAAAAGTTCATATTTCACTCGTGGCTGTGCCACTCGTGAAATATACCTTTTGGTGCTCACTTGGTGAAATATATTCCTATCTTACACTGAACTAAACAAATATCCTCTATATAATTACATAGTTGTCTAATTTTATATACTACTGTGACAGAATATTTAACATAAGAATAAATTACTGGCCATGATATGTGAAAAAAAAATTATGTACATTTATTTATTAATCAAACTAATATAGCATTTATCAGCAATATATAAGACAAATGAGCCGTGCCACAACAAAACCAACATAATGCGTTTGCGACCAGCATGGATCCAGACCAGCCTGCTCATCCGCACAGTCTGATCAGGATTCATGCTGTTCGCTATCAGTTTCTCTACTTGTTATAGGGTTTATAAGCGAACAGCATGGATCCTGATCAGACTGCGCGGATGCGTAGGCTGGTCTGGATCCATGCTGGTCGCAAACCCATTATGTTGGTTTTGTCGTGACGCGGCTCAAATATATATTCAGCATATTTCACTGTATATCAAATATCTTTCTTAAATCTTTTTTGTAAGAAATGAATTTTATATTGATATAGAACTACATAGATTAATTAGCAGAGTACATGGAAGTGCATATGTATATTTTACATCAAAACATGTTAAAACCTCGTGTAAAATAACTGTTAAAAAGTTGATGCTGTTCAATAAAGGTCATAACCTTTTTTTTTTCGAGACTTCCTAAATGATTTCGCATGTTCATTTACAGTGAGTTTCTATTACATATGTCAAAGTTTCACTTGATTGCTATTAACACCCATGACTTCAAATAAAAGACAGACCTTACAAAAAAGTAATAAAAAATACTAAAATTGTTATATATCTAAAGAATAAAGTATATCTGTGAAGGAAATAATGGGTTTTACTCAGCATGTGCTACTTTGTGACACATTATAGTCAGTCAAATATATCTTGACACCAATCCATAGTTAATTTCAATGTCTTCTGTCAGAACAGATAGAGCAATTTTACCATGATACAGAACAGATTATAAAATTATACCACAATGCATATAACAGACAGAGTTTATACTGAACCTCTTTAAAACAGTGTGAATTATTCTTGCAATTATTCGCATTTAACGTTTTTAATTTGCATATTTCACATTTCGGTGTTTGTATGTTAAGTGTTCTTCTGCAACTGTGTATTAGCATGCCAATGTTATGTTTTCATCTGTTGTTGGTCCATGTTTTCCCGAGCATTCACAGCCATATACACCAGTCTTCCAAATCTCTTCTGCTGTTTTCATGTAGTGATCTGCTTCAAATAGAAGACTGTTTGTAGACTGGTTAGATGATATATTTCGGTGAACAAGTCTATGACTTGACCGTAGACTGGTTTCCTGCTTCATATACAATATTTGACCAATAACTGTAGGTTTGTTCCTTATTTTCTCATACAAATAAGTATTGTTTCCTGTAATATTATAGCACACAGAATTTTTTATATTTTTCACATGAAAGAAGATGTCACCAAGTAAAAGATGCCTTCTTGGACGATGGAAAACAAATTTGAACAAAAGTTTCTCTTGGGATTCTTTTGAGGTAATAAATGAAAAGGAACAGTTCTCTACATATGAATACTGATACACATCGTTGTCTGATTTGGCAAGATTATAACATTCTCGGAATCTTTGCTCCGTGGAATTATAACTGTTTAATACTAGTTTCTTAATTTTTCTATCAGACGATAAAGTAAAAGTGACCTTGACACTAATACTGTCAACACCATAAAATTCATCAATGTCTGCTAGTTTCAGCCATATTTCATCATCTTTGAATGTTTTAAAGTCTTTGTGATTTAAATAAATACCAACATCTTCAAAGTATTCCTCGAAAGATGATTTGCCAGTCCAGATTTCGTGCGGCATTTTAAATTTGAATTGTCTCTCATCCAGTGCAATAACATGAGTGAAAGTAAAAATTGTTACTGCTCCACACAATGCCAAACATAATCCAACAGTTGTCACAAATTTATAAATAGATTTCCTGAATGGGTTTTGCAGAGATTCTTCCCCTTGTTCTAAATATAGACGAACAAGAGGGACAACAATGCGTAAAATAACAGATGTTATTACAATCAAACATTTTGTTAGCTGGAAATAGCTGATTGGTTCACTGTGGCAAAGGCTTATAGCAAACGTTACGGAAAGTGTGGGTATTTCATTTATCCAAACAACTAATGCTGAATCCAGGTCAAGGTCGACCCATGGTTTTCCGCTGCATATGTCACGAGTTATATTAAGCACTTCAAACACAATTGCAAGCGATCCTACTGCAGTAGTTAGGAGCAATTCCCTTTTATCGATTTTGGGTCAGAGGCCGAAAAACTGGGCCCCCCCTTTCCAAAAATGAAATTTCTAAAATAAAAAACGGGTCTTTTGGTGATTTTCCCCCAATTTTCCAAGGACAAAAATACGAGGGAAACAAAAAAACCCATACGGGGCTTTGGAAATGAGGGGGAATACTTTATGTGGGTTGATGGGAAAATTTTTCCGCCTGCGGTTTTGACCCTGTCGGGAAACCCGGGCTCCAAAGCGGGTCTTTTGGTTTCATGGTTTTAAATTTTTTCCCGCTGTAAAATCAATTTATAGAACCCCGGGAATTTTAAAAACATTTGTAAACCCATCCCATCGGGCAATGAAAGGGAAAACATATGAAAAACCCAAAAGTTGGAATTTTTTTTCTTGATCATTTTTTGGTTTTAAAAGGGAAAAATAGGGGGCAAAAATTGATATTTTTTTTAAATAAAAAATTAAAAAATAGTGTTGTTAGATAATGAAATATATGGCAATATTGATATATTTTAAATAGAAAATTTATAAAAAAAATAGTGTTGTTAGATAATGAAATATATGGCAATATTGATATATTTTGAATAGAAAATTTATAAAAAATAGTGTTGTTAGATAATGAAATATGGCAATATTGAAATATTTTGAATTGAAAAACAAAAAACTTGTCCTTATTGTGTGACATATTAATCTAATCTGTGGTATATGCTGTTACTATGGCCACAAATATTTAAATCATTTAATAATGTATTTTAATCTAATCGAACTTTATAAAAAAAAAAGATTTTAACAAGTTTTTTATTTCAATCAAGAATTTAATTCATGACTCACATTATTGATTTTTCATGTTAAATATTAGGTTTAGAAATGTTAAATTCTGCTCAGTTTTTAACTTGAGATATTAATCATTAACAATGTTGAAAATCATGTAATAATTTAAAAAAAAAAATAAACAAAAAATTTAAACTGGTTGATGGCCTATAAAGAATAATCAAAAAATTATTTCATAAAAAAAGGTTTCCTTGTCCAACAAACTATTAACCAACTTACCCATAATTCCTCTTACTCACATTATCTTTGAGACACTAACAAAACAACATATTTCAATTTAACCACCACTTCTGACGTAAATGCGGTCAATCGTCTTTTTTGCTTATGAAATAATTGTTATTTTATGGTTAATGTTTATACGGGAGGCGGTGATTTATATCCCCAAAACTGTGCCACAGGTGAAATTATTTTCCCTTAACGTCTTAAAAAAAATCTCCCGTGCAGAATTATTTCTTTCAGACTATTTTTTTCGTTCTGGTGGTCAACACAACTTTGTTTACAGATGTTAGTCTGGCCTTCAAATTGTGTGTGGTTCATGATATTTAAATTCAAATTTTTTAATAAAGGGTCATTTTTAAAAAAAGAATGTATCTTAATTTATATAAAAATTTATGGAAATTTCTTAAAACAATTTAAGTGATTTAAATAATAGAGCTTATAACCTTTTTACATTCCATTGTCAATACATACATTTAAAGGTTTATGTCTTTATACATTCAAAGGATTTATATATCTACAATACATCAAAGGTTTTATTATTTACATACATGAAGGTTTTTCTAAACATACTTTCAAGGTTTTATGTTTTTCATACATTCAAGGTTTTATATACTACATACTACATTTTCAAAGGGTTTTAAATATTCTACATCCCACCCAATTTTTAAATAACCCTTTTAAATTTTTTTCCAAGGGGTTTTATATTTTAAAAATTTCCCAAGGTTTTATCTTACTACATTAAAGGTTTTATGTTTTTCTTTAAAATTAAAGGGTTTAAATATAATTTTTAAACATACTTTTTCCCAAGGTTTTTTTATTTTTTAACCATACATTCAATTTTTAAAATTTTTCCCAAAACCCTTTAAAGGGTTTTAAATACCCTTACAACTTTCCAAGGGTTTTTTGTCCCCTACACCCCAAGGTTTTTTAAAATTCCCTTTAACCAAAACTTTTTTCCGGGTTTATTCTACAAAAAACTTTTCAATGTTTAACTCCCTACTTTTCAATTTTAATTTTAAACCCAAAAAAATTAAAGGGTTTTATATTTTTCAAACTTTACTTTCAAAAAGTTTAAAATCTTTTTAAATTTTTAAAAAAATTAACTGTGGAAATTAAAATTCTAATAGTTAAAAACTTTAAACTAAATGTTAATAACTTTTAAATCTTTCAAAAAAACCTTTTGAATTTACGATTGTTAATTTCAAAAAAAAACTTTATTGAAATTTATTACCTACTAAGTATTAATGCTTCAGTGATGATGTAGCCAAAGGGGGTTGAAATATAGTAAAGAGGATTGAAAAAAATTTAATAAATTAAACATTATTTACCCACTGGGCCCAATAACCCAAACCAAAAAATATCATTTTTTACTTTTCAAAAAAGATTTGGATGGAAAAAATTCAGGAAACAAGGGGTTTTTAGAAACAGGATACAATTTGATTGCTTAATGTTAAGTTAATTTAAGTATTTTGTAAATTTGTAAGCCTTCGAGGCCTCTGATCATGAATATTTGTTGGGAGTGTATTAATTCCTTTTATAGTGAAGCGTTTGCCTATTTTTATTTGGTGAGTTTGTTGGTTGGAAAAAAAAAAAGTATATAAATTTAATATTTTTTATATATTCTTAATGTTTGAAAAAGGGGGTCCTTTAAATTTGGTTTGGGGGAAAACCAGGGGGCCCCCGGGGAATTGTTTTTACATAACGGGATTTATTTGCAGCATTTGGGTTAGTGAAAAATAAACCTTTCAGATAAAGTGGGGCAGGTATGGCTTTGTTTTTTCCTTAAAGGCCCTATATCCCGGTTTAGGATTAAAATTTTCCCAAACCAAATTTTACTTTTTCCCGGCAGCACCCTTTGGGGGTTTGGGGCTTTTAAATTTATAAACCCCAAAATTTTTAATGTCTATAAAAAATTTTTTTTATATAAATTTTTTAAAAAACAAAATTAAAAATTCCCCCAAAAATTTAATTTTTTTTTCCTTTTCCCCCCCCCCAGGGTGCTGGGCTGAGGGGGGGGCGGGTTTCCCGGGTTTTCAGAGGGGGTTTTAAACTTTTTTTAAGGGTAAACCAGGGGGCCCCAAAAACCCAAGAACCCTTTGGGCCAAAAAGGGGGAAACCGGGGAAACCAGCAAACTTTTTAAAGGAGTCCCGGAATTTTCTCCCCCCCCCCCCGGGGAGAAAAAACCCAAAAAAACCCCCAAGGTTTTTTTCTTTTAAAAAAAACCCAATTTAAAATTTTGGGGGGGATGGGGGAGGGGGGAAAAGGGTTAAGGGTTTTAATTTTTTGTGGGGCCCCCCCCCCCCGCGGGGTTTTTAAAAAGGGGATGGTTTTTTGCCATCAGTTTAGGGGCCAAAGGGCCCGGGGCCCCGGGGCCACGTCCAGGGCATTTCGGGACAAGGATTTTTTTAAACTGTTTTGATTTTTTAAAAAATTTTTTAAAATTTTGATCCCCCCCAATTTTGGGGGGGGGGGAAAACCCCCCCCCCAAAAGGGCCCCTTTTGAAGTAACAATTATTTCATGTAGCACCAATTATTTTCAAATTTTTGTAAGCTACAGAAAGATGAAAAAAGTATTCGTGATTTGGCGGCCATATTGGATTTTCTGTCTTTTATATACATAACTTAAAACTTGGTTTTAACATTAACTGAACTAGTAAACTAACTTTTAAACTCGGTTTACTAACCTTAATACTTAGTTAAATGCCCTTTGAACCTTTATAACCTGCATAATTCTCCGTGGTATAGACTTGTACAGGCTTTGAACATAGGCGGGTGTAATCTCTTGCCAGATCCGAAAATTTTTGTCAAATAATATCTGCTCACTGTTTATGATAACTGTACTGTTTGAAAGTTTTCGTTTAATATATAACCAGATATTTTCAATTATGTTTAAATCAGGTGATTGTGCTGGCCAAAACATGGATTTAATACCGTTTCTGGTCTTATAAAGATTGACACTGTGTGCACGATGAACAGGTGCGTTGTCGTCCTGAAAAGTGTAAGAGTTATCGGGAAAATGACGAGCAATAACTGGCCAAAGATTTTCTTCTAAAATTTCCTCATATTTTTTAGCATTAATGTTACCACTGACTTTCGCTAGAGTACCAACACCATGCCAAGTGACACACCCCATATCATCACTTTGATCACCTTCTTGTTATTGGAAAGATTTCGGAGTCAATAAATCTGGTCTATACCCTTCGTCACGCTTCCTCCATATCAAAACGCTATTGTCACTGCCTATTAACAACTTGACTTTCATCAGAAAAATATCACACGATCCCATTCACCTACTACTTTAGACCTTCTTTTCTCTCTACACCAAGAAAGGCGCTTTGCTCTATTCATCTTTTGACACAATAACTCTTTTCTTACTCACTTCTTTTAGAAAAATCCATGTTTATGTAAATGATTTTGAAAACAGTTCTTTTACAAACTGGCTTTGATCTCCCCTCATTAAATTTACTTGTTATGTCTGCTAATGAAGCCCCGACGATTTGCACTTCACAGTCCTTTCAAGATGGCGATAATCTCTGTCTGTCACTAATCGAGGTCGGCCTGATCTTTTGTAAATTTTCCACTGATCCTGATGATTTGAATTTTTTTTAAAACAGATGAAAATGGTACTGTGAGGTTTCTGTAGAGTTCTCGAAATTTCTGCTATTGACATTCCATCATTAATACATACAAACAGCAATATTTTTTACACAATGGTCAATTCTGAACCTTTTCTACCCATTTCAAAATAAGCGCAGAAGTAAACATTCAGTGACGTTTTTCTAGCATAATTTTACGTCATCATGTTTTTCCAATAATTTATCTATAAATAGACTACACAATAAACAACCAAGGTCATTTAAAATCGTTATGGTGCAAGGGAAAGTAATCTCTCGGTAATAACGTTATGACGTTATCTCCCATATTAACGAATACTTTTTTCATCTTACTGTAGTTGGTTTTTGTCTAATTAGGGGACTCTTGTTCCTGACAGACTTGAAAAAAAATTGTCAAAAAGCAAAATGGAATTTATGCTATTGTCCATTGGAGCCCCTTTTTTTGAGACTCATTCTTTGATATATGTATACTTTTGTGACAAATAATAGTATCACATTTAACACTACTTTCTTCATGTGATAAGCATCTGACATGCTCTAAAATGTTTGCAGTATTTATCACCATATTTCTACTATGTGACTAATGGAGTAAGGGCTATTTTTGCACATTATGACCTTAATTTGGTAATTTACGTGGATTTTGAAAGTGCTGTTTGCAATGTGTAAATTACTTTTTTTTGTTCAATTTTTTATACATTTTCAAATTTTTCGTGAAAATTAACATGATTCTGAAGGCATGCTGCTGTAATTGAAATGTAGACATGAAATCACTGTGTTTTAAAATCTGAATATTCATGTAAGATTTGAAATACTGATACCAGTTTCTAGCATCTTCCTACAATGTTTTAAACTATTTCAGGTTCATCACTACATTACGTGGCCATGTTAGTCGTGTATATCAGGTGTCATGGTCGGCTGATAGCAGATTGTTGTGTAGTGGCAGCTCTGATTCTACGCTGAAAGTTTGGGACTTGAAAACGAAAAAACTTCTTTTTGATTTACCCGGCCATGCTGATGAGGTAAGGGGAGATTACTCCTACATACATTATTATTTAAAGGGACATAACTCATCTGTGATTGTATTTGAATATATGGCATGATGGAAGAATAATAAATAAATGAAAATATAGCATTTATTAAGTTGATTATTATAATTTATCTTAGCATGCTAAAGCATTTAACCTTGACCATGCTGTAGGTAACTGTAACCAGTCAGTGCAGATCAAGGTCATTTGGGATATTGTGCCATTCAATTATGGTCTGCACTGTTTGCTATTCAGTCAGTACTTAATTTTGAAATTTTCCCTAAAATGTTTTTTTCTGCATCAGTACTTAATTTTGAAATTTTCCCGAAAATGGTTTTGTCTGAATCAGTACTTAATTTTGAAGTTATCCCTAAAATGGTTTTGTCTGAATCAGTACTTAATTTTGAAATTTTCCCTAAAATGGTTTTGTCTGAATCAGTACTTAATTTTAAAATTTTCCCAAAAATGGTTTCGTCTGAATCAGTACTTAATTTTGAAATTTTCCCTAAAATGGTTTTGTCTGAATCAGTACTTAATTTTAAAGATGGACAAGTCTACTTAAGTAGTTTAGCATTGTAAGTGTAAAGCTGCAGGTCTCTTTCTTCACATGACAAGCATATTATATAACATGTTTAAATCCATTATTCAAACAGCATAAATAAAAAATTTGCCCTTTCTTAAGAAGAATTAAATTTACATATCTGAGGTCTAATATAAAATAATTATTTAAATCAATTTTCAAGAGAAATAAACCTCAAAAGACATTGATGAAAATTGAATATTTTTAGGTTTATGCTGTTGACTGGAGTCCAGATGGTCAAAGAGTGGTCAGTGGTGGCAAGGACAAGGTTTTGAAAATGTAAGATATGTAAAATGTTTTCATCCACTCTGTAATTATCAAAATATGCATTCATAATTTCATAGGTAATATTCAAAATATTTTGTGACCTGTCGTCCCCAAGTTTTATGGCTATAAGGGGAGATAAGGCTTGGTGATTCTGGTGTCTGCATGTCAGTCTGAGAATTATGGGTTCGAACCCCACAAGGAACACAGCCATGTTTCCTTATTACACAAATACAGATAAAGTTCAAAGAAAGCAAGAGAGTGATTCAAATATGCTACAAATTTTTACCACAATGGCCTGAAAACAAATATATTTGAACTAATATTTACAGTTGTTATTAATTAAATTTTAAGAAAAGTAGAATATGTAAAGATTAATTATTTTGTTATGTGTAAAATGTGTCTTTGAGTAACAGGTTCAAAGTAGACCAAAGATCTGTATAAACTTTCTTGTTCCTTGTTTAATGGTTAAAAAATTTGCCTCTAATCTTAGGAACTGAGAGTTTAAATCCTACTCAAGTCATGGCTGTATTTTGTCATATAATAACAAAACCTGTCAGTCCTTGAAGAAGCATTAATTATTAAGTTGCAAGAACTTGTTACACAATGATGCACAATTGAATGAAAAATAAATTCCTATTTGGACATCATTGGTGTATTTCTACAAGTTTTGAATAAACACTTGGAATTTCATACAAAATTTTAACGGCATATAATTGAAAAAAAGGTGTAAGTGCATGCTCATATTACAATAAATCTTTCTATAGACAGTTAGAAAACCCATTGTAGAGACATTTAAAATATTTTGGTCATTAAAAGTTGATATATACATTTCAGTTGGAGAAAATGAGGTGACAATTACAGGTGTAATTAGGAAAACTTGGCATACAAAACATCTTACTCAGTGCTTGCATATGATGGACCATGGGAAATTTGTGATACCAAGAAATTAAGACATTAACACCGGTCCTGGAAAAGATTTATGTAACAAAAAGTTCTACAGATGCTTGAACAAAAAATAAATATTTCTTGTCCCAGATGGATGCAAGAATTTCACATGTTTACTGATATTTGTCATTTTAAATGACATTTTTATTGAATAAAATAAAATCGTATTAGGAAATAACAACATTTTTCTGTTTTAATATTTTGTTGTTGAGTTTTATGTTGCATCAACACAGTAGAGGTCATATGGTCACTTTCCAGCTGTACTGGTGGAGGAAGACCTCAGATGCCCCTCTGTGCATAAGTTCAAGCAGGCATGGGCACCAGAGTAGATCCACTGACATTCTTTATATACTTTATTATTGATAGATATCCATGTTTATATGTCTCTTTGTGACACTTCTACTTTATCTGCTCATATTGTTTAAATAGACTTGTCCTGCTTTGACATTTTAACTGTCAACTGTTTTAGGGAATTCATATGAAAATATTGAAATAGAGCAGCTATAGGCTAAATCATAAAAGTCACATCATCATTATTTCACAGTAATTTCATGTTTATTCCATGTAGTTGTTGTTCACATGGTTAAAGTTGACCAATTTTAGTCAAACACCTATACAACCATGATTTCTGTCGTAATATTTCAAACTTGCATTTGAAACAGATCAGCATTGTGCAGCATATGTGGAAAAAAGTCCTCGTAGTCGGTTTAAAACATTATGAGAAATCAGACCTATGAAATGTCTTGCAAAGTATGTTTGATTCCTACATTGGAAACTTCCATTAAATAGTATTTATAAATAATTTCCAGAAATTTGAACTTCTGCAAAATTTAGCTGGGAAGTTACAGACACTTTCACAGTCACTGTCACATGGTTATGGTTACAAGCACTTGTGAAAATTGTATGAAATTTTCAAGTGAATCGTACAAGGGAAGTAGAATTAAAGTTTCTATAACTTAAGTGTCAGTTTGACAACTTCGTATATTTTAAAATATAAAAATTTCAAACAATTTCCCTCAATCCACTCCTTTTTTGTGCTTTTTCTTCTTTTTCTTTTTATGCTTCTTTATTGAACATTCACTAATTTCTTTGTTTTTATCAATATGATCATTGTTTGTCTTTTCTATATCACTGTCATATTTAATCTTGGTATGAATATTTGAATTGTCTGTTGGATTATTGTTCTTGTTTGCCACACCAGGTGGATCTGCTTGATTTATTATAATGTCAGCTGCTTTCTGATTGGTCAGGTAGGGGAGGTTACTCTGCTGGAGCACAAAGTCATGTGACACAGATGCTTCTGCAAGTCTTTCATCTTCAGAACTAGAAAAAACAAAAGGCTGATTGTACATAAATGGCATCTTAGTTTAAAGGGATAAACATAACTGGCATACAAATATACATTCATAACTTTGTCCCCTTTTATTTGGCTGACTTTTTTAAAACTACACAAATAATGCAAAGGTCATAATTAAGGCGACATTCCAACTAAAATGGTGAAGAAGACCTCAGATGCCCCATTCCTGCAATATTTCAGGTTTGACCTGGCACCTGAGTAAAAGAAACGGCTATCAGCTGGCTCACATGAGAGCAAAATAAGTCGATGGTGGGATTCAAACCCACAGCAATGAGGGGAAAAGTTCAATGTCATCGACCATATCTACTAGGTCATAGAGGCCCTTTCCTTCATGCATATTAACAGAACCTTAAGGACAACAAAGAATATATAATATACCTTATGGAAGCTTATGTTAAGCAATTTTATTCCAAAACATCATTATTAGAATCTTACATTGGCTGCCGGTACAGACCAGAATATCTAGTTCAAGGGTAACTATTTGCAACACTAAAACAGTTATCTCAGACCAGGTTCTTTAAAATAGAAATATTTGAAAGACCCTGCTCAGAGCTAGATATTCCTGTCTGTTACAATAGCAACTGTTTGATTGTTTTTCTTGCATATTACTTATAAATCTTATAACAGAATTTTTTTTTTGAAAACTAATATTTTTATTATGCAATATTTTCTTATAGAATCAAATACAACTTACAACTTCTTTCATAATGACAAAATGATGTCATCCTAAGAGAGCACTTCAATTATATAAGGTGTATGGGAATAATAACATTTACAGCACAAGACTTGTAAACAGTAAATAATCCTGTCTGATATGCAAAAAAACATAAGTCTTCAGTGATGTACAATGTAAATTTAAATATTCAATGATAAAATGTACAATACTTATTGCTTAATTCCAAAATTCTTACTAACAGAAACTGTTATTTCAAAGTGACATAAACATGTGTCCTTCTATACATTTAACAAAACATCAAAGATTGATCCGACTGTTAGATTTTGGAAAAAAAAAAATTTAATTTTAACCAGAATTTCAATTCCCCATTAAATCAAAAATGGGGGGATTCCTTCTCGATGAGATCTATCATCCTATAAAGTTTCAAGTCCATAGCTTTTATAGTTTGGGAGCATGGTTTGGACAAAAATAAAGTATGAAAATTAACAAAGGGCAAGAACTCAAAAAAAAAAGAATTGCATAGTAACGATTTTTGTGCTCTGCACTTCAGGTCACATACCAAGTTTTGAGTCAATCTATAGTGACTGAGTTAGTATCCAGACTAACTGGACGCCAACACCGCCTAGAAAAGAAACCGCTATATGTCGACTTTTTCAAGGCAAACCACAAAGAGTTAAATTTAAGAAAATCGGAGGAGGAATGTCTTAAAATGTACCTGCTGTCACTACTGGAAACGCAGCGGCTGTCGTTTATTTACAGGTTTCCCACTCTCCACTTGTGAAGAATCCAGTTTTGAAGGACCCCCAGTTTTGAAGAAAGAAAACAGTTTTAACACCCTGCGAAAAAAAATTCATACTGAGCAAATTTCTTGCTTAAATAACCCTTAAAACTTCCCATAAATAAAAAAGGAAAAAGCAATAGCTTATTACAACATTAGGTCTTTTAATTAAGGGATAATTAATTTTTTATTAAGTGTTCACAATTTTTCCTAATAAGCCGTACCTTCTAATAACATTAGGTTTTTTTACCAAATGACATAAAAATTTTCGAAAAAAATATAGAAAATAAATAATTTGGAACATGGTATGAAGAGTATTTTTGTGAATAATTATTAAGTGTTCACAGTGATTTTTTTTTCTAATGCCTACAGTGACTATTTTTCATGTGTTAACTATTATGGTAGTAATACTGTGATGGGGGGGGGGGTTACTCAAATACACGGGCATAACCAAAGTGAAAATTTCAGTACTTCTCGGCCTTTTATGTTATTTACATCTGATTATATGTAAGGTAAGAATTAAAGATACTACACATACATTGATTTGTACCCCTATGTTATCACCGGGTGATTTCCCTGCTCTTAACTCACAGACTTACCCGAGTCCTCTTCTGCATTGTCAACACTTTTACCAAAATATTCACAACTGGTATCAATCACACTGAAAACAATGTAAGATTTATTTGTGACAGGTTTTACTAATATAAATTAAAGAATTTAAATATATAAAAAAATGCCTTTTTAAGTTAACAAAATAGTCGGCTAAAAACCCCAAGCCCATTTTACTCATTGGGGTGATAGTCATTTTTAAAAAAAATCTTTAAATTAAACTGACTTCACATGGGTTGAGGGGTTTAAATTAAAACTACAAAATAAAATTAAAAAACAGTTTGTTTATAAAAAAAATAATATTAAAAGTATGGTTTTTAAAATTTTTAACCAAAAAGAAAAAAAACAGCTTTAAAAATTGCATAAAAAATAAAAAATTGACCCACGTCAGGGAAAAAACCAAACAAAGTGGGTTTGGCGACCACCCAAGGTTTTCCAAAACCAACCCCTGCGCACCCAATAGTCGTTTGGGACCCCATGCGTTAAATATCATTTTCTCAAATTTGGGTAATGGGGTTTGGGAAAAAAGCAAACAGCAGGGGAATCCTAAATTCAAAACGGGCGCGGGGGCCCAAAGGCGGTCTGGATACATGCTGGTCGCAAACGCATTATGTTGGTTTTGTCGTGACGTGGCTCAAATTAATGAATCTTCAACAAGAACTGCCAGCTCCAGTGCTTGATAGTAATACATGATCATAGCCTATGTAGAAATTTCTTCGTCCAAAAAGGGCCATAATTCTGTCAAAATTAAAGTTACAATGTAAAGTTATGGGCCAAAGAAAGTGACCTATTTTGCTCTCAAATAAGTGTGTAAAGTTTTAACCCTTTCATAGTTTTAGTGATACCAACTTGCACCCTAAATACTTAACCAAAGTGTACGCCGACTTTGACCTGGGCAAGTACAATAGCTCTATTTGTTCTTTAAATAGTTACGATAAAATGTGCTAAGAATTTACCTGTCTAAAGCCTCTGATAATTTTTTGGACACATGTTTTCTGAAGCCAGGTGTTGTGTTATATGCATTGTCAAACTGGTCTGCATCAGAAATGTCTTTATCTGGTCTGTAATGAAAGATTGTAACTGAATGTTTAGCTTAAGTACCAGTACCACAAATTTAGTACAAAAGGACTTGATACACCATCATTTTCTTCAAATTATAACAAGAGCTGTGTGAAGACCAGCACTCGGTCACAGAACTTTTATCAGTGCTACATAGTCAACTCTGAACTGCATATTTTCTAGAGATAATTTGAAGTAAAGGACACATATAGACTTCAATTATATTATCAAAATATGGGATCGGCAGGCTGAAGAAGATGCCTCCGCATATCAAATTTTGCCAGGAACATTTTCACATGTGATATTTTTTTGTTTAGTACATGTACATCTCAAAACTGTACCAATCTGATTTTTTAAACCAAGAAACGTTTTTACCTTTTAGAAGGTATCCTTTCTTTATCATTCGTTTGATGGAAGTCTGTCTTTACTTGAACTAAATAAAAAAAGAATCACAAAATTTAACAATAATTATACGGGGAAGTCAAAGACCGGGCCCGCGAAGCGAGTCCGGGCTTTGGCTTGCCCGGCTATAGACTACACGTGTATATTTAAAAGAAAATCAAATAAAAAACAATTAAAAAATATATAGAATTCTATACCTATCAATGAAATTTTCAGTGTCAGTTCTAGTCGGGCGCCGCCATTGACAATGTATGTCAATGATAATAGGCGGGATATTCCGATAACGGAACAAATCTCAACTTTTCGGATAAATAATAAACGTCGAGTGTTCCGAGTGAAAACGGAAGTGCATGTAATACCGAATGACACCTTTAAAACGGAAAGAATGAAAGGAATTTTTAACGATTTTTAACGACTTCCCCGTGCATAGGCTTTGCCTAATTTCATATTAAGCCTCAAAATATGAAAATGTCTTCGCTACTTACAGTTAAAAGTATATATATATGAAGGCAATAACAAGTGATTGAATGAGGTTCCAATATTTTATGTCAGCCGCACAAATGTATAGTCAGAAACATCAGTATATTTGTGTGGCTGTCATATAATTTAAAGATTGGAATATCATTCAATCACATGTTGTCTTTATTTCAATAACTATCACACGCTTGTCACGATTTTTCCATTCAAATACTATAAAATCAACAATTGCAATAGCTGAATATCAGAAAAACATCTTTAAATCGTCCGAAGCGTTGCAATATCCGAATCAGAGTGAGATGTCGCGAATATACGTTACAAATCCGCATTTCCTTCTTTTTGATACTCTGACAATAATGATGTTTTTCAGTTGTAAGTAACCTTGTTTTCCAATTGGGATTTCAAACACGGCTTCCTTAAATTTTGCATTCTCTTCCTCGTCCTCGCTTGAAGACGTTTCAGGACTTGTGGCCATGGGCGCAGCCATGATAGTTATACAATCACAAATAAACGAAATTATAATATAACTTTCTTATATACTGTTGTCATTTATCAAATAATATAGAAAATAGGCGATTTCAATCAATAATATATTTTTATTTCTTGAGATAAAACTTAGAGGTCTAAAAAGATATTTTATATCAGAAACATTTTCGTCAAAAATAATTTTTTTATTTCAGAACTAATTACCCTCGGACTATTTCTTTATTAAATAACAGTTTAAATGTTATAATAAAATCGAAAATGAATGATACAAACACAAATATTACTTGAAAATCAATTTTGTTATATAATGACAGTTTATCTAATGTGTGACAACATGTTTTTTGAAACCTATAAGAAAATCTAGCGCGCAGAAATACAATTTCACCGGAAGTTTTGGAGGCAGCATTGGAATTGTAAATTTCTTATCATGCATAAAAGTTAGCGTTCCCGCGAAGTAGAATGGTTAACATAATACTGCATGATTATTTTTAGTTCCAGATACATTCATTTACTATCTTGCATAGCAGTTGACCCCTTTGTATTATTTGAGCTCCAAACTTTTGTGAATTTTACCAACCGGTGTCGATGTAAATAATAGAAAATCGAGATGTCTAACATGTCCTACAACAATCTGAGCCGCGCTCAGCTCAGTTATGAGTATCTGCATACCAATTCGTAAGTAAAATTTATTGTAGCAGGTCATTTCAACCTGTGCATTGATATATGTCTCTGTTATGTCTGCTGAACTATCGTAATATCAAGTTGCCAAGTGCAACATGAAAGTCATTGTATTCCTTAATAATTTCATAATATGAAATTAGGCAAAGCCTATGACCGGGGAAGTTGTTAAAAAATTCCTTTCATTCTTTCGGTTTTAAAGGTGTCATTCGGTATTACATGCACCACTTCCGTTTTCACTCGGAACACTCGACAATTATTTATTAATCCGAAAAGTTGAGATTTGTTCCGTTATCGGAATACCCCGCCTATTATCATTAAGTTACATTGTAAATGGCGGCTCCAGACTAGAACTGACACTGAAAATTTCATTGATAGGTATAGAATTCTATATATTTTCAAACTGTTTTTTATTTGATTTTCTTTTAAATATACATGTGTAGTCGGGTTACACGACTTACCGGAATCGGCCGAATTACCGGAATCGACCGGAATCGGCGGTGAATTACCGGAATCGACCTGTAACTTTGTAATAATTAAACTTTTTAAGTTTTTTCTTGCAATTTTATAAAATATAAACAATATCAATGATTTATGAAAAGATTTTTATAAATAAAATCGCTTTTAATTAATTTAACAAGAGATCTAATATCGGCGAGCTACTGCCAAACTGCCAGTGACCGGAATCGGCCTGTTATTTCGTTGTTTATGCAACTTTTAATGTTCCTTTTGCATGTTTTTATAAAACCTAAATATTATCATTAATCTTCCTAGAGATTGTGAAAAAAATCGCTTTTAAATAATAATAATAAACAAATATTTATGATCAGCGAAAACGGGCAAACTGCCGGAATCGGCAAAGGATTACCGAAATCGGCCTGTAATTTGCTTATCTTTATACTTTAAACAAAATGTTTGCACCCTTGATATTAAATAAACAATAGCAATGATATGTAATCAGATTATTGTCAATAAAATCACTTTTTATTAATTAAACAAGATATTTAATATCGGCGAGTTACTACCATACTGTCGGAATCGGCGAAGGATTACCGGAATCGACGTATAATTTAGTCTATTGTACATTTTTAACGTTTCTGTTGCATTGTTAATATTCGTCTTATAAAATATAAATATTATGAATGATATTTAAAAGTTTCTTTCATTCTTTTATTTTGTAAATTTCAATTCGCCTTTGGTTAATAAAGCAAGAGATCGAAGATCGGCGAGTTACATATACTGTCATACAGCCGAAATAGCCGAATGATTACCGGAATCGGCCTGTATTATTGTAATTTATGGACTTTGCAAGAAAAAAATGCAAACAATATAATAGATATCTAAAAAGATTTCTGAAAATGAAGAATCCTTATTAAATAATAAGCTAGAGATCTAAGGTCGGCGAATTACTGCCATATCGCATAATTCCGCATAATTATATGCAGTGCCAGGGCTATCGGACAATTACCGGAATCGGTCTGTTTTCCCCCACCAATATTTCAACGTTTAAAAAATAACCTTGACTTATTTTATTAAATACAAACAATTTAAAAGATTTTTTATAATGTTTATTGAAATCGGTATTAAATAAGAAGCAAAAGATTTATGAAAAATTGCTGTTATAAATAATAAAAAGATTAATATTGAAGATCGGCAAAAACGGGAAACCTGTCGGAATAGGCGATAGATTACCGGAATCGACCTGTAATTTGGTTATTTGTGATTTTTTTGAATATTTCTTTTGCATATTTTTATAAGATATAAACATTTTCAACGATATTCATTTTTGTAAATAAATTCGCTTTTGATTAATAAAACAAGAGACCTAAGATCGGCGAATTACTGTCATTCTGCCGATATAGGGGAAGGATGGGCGGAATCAGCCTGTAATATAGTTATTTTTATGTTATTTTATTGAATGCAAATAATATCATCGATATACGAAGATTTTTTTGAGAAATAAAGATCACTTTTTTACTATAAACTAGATATCTAAGATAGACTAATTACTATCACAGTGCCTGAATAAACAGGTAAATACCGGAATTAGTCTGTTTTTTTTTTTGGTTATATTTCAGCGTTTTAAAAATATCTTGCCATACAAACAATTCAAATGATATTTGAAAATATTTATTGCAATTGCTATTACATAATAAACAAGGTGATCTATGATTTCTTCCATACTACCGAAATCGACGAGCGATTACCGGAATCGGCTTCACTTCGTCTAGGATTACTGGAATCGGTTCTAATTTTGTTATGAATGTGAACTCAATATTATTATTATCATTTATTTTTGCATGTATTTACAAACATTATCATTGATCTTTTATGGAATAATGCAATATCGTCTTTACATAATATTTTTTCAGGACATTGCTAACAGAGGATTGTTTGAAATGACGGATAACAATAGGTCAGTTTTGTCTTTCTTTCTTTATGTTTGCAAAACTCAATTCTTGATTTCATAAAGTAGTCGATTTATAATAACATGCAATAATATTTACATGAAATCAATGTTTTACCAGGCAGTTACTTGACAGTTCATGGTCATTCTTGAGTATCAAATCAATTGTCGTCATTTGCGTTATTGGTGCACCATAAAATATTACAAAGATTGCGAATAAGTCAATCGTTGAAACATAGATTATTTAGTCTTAAATAGTAAACAAATCATCTATACCCGTAAAGTTTAAAACAGTGAGATATGGATGTTAACTATATACGCACAGATGATACTGTCACTTTATTGGAAGTAAACGAGCTGTATATTGGGAGCTGTGTATTGGGAAGTGTGATATACTACAAAACAGTGGGGTGCCAATATACGGTATGCTGATATATTTCATAGTGGGAGAGACTATCTGTTAGAGAATGCCTGTTGTTCAGCAAGCTGTAGATGAAATAAGTCATAGGATTTATTGAACTTCGTAATTTTTAAAGACTTAAGATTTAGTCAATGTAAAAACAAAACAACAATATAAACACCCTGTATAGATCTAAAGATTCTTTTCAAAGTTTAGCATAATTTCTAACCGTTTGACCCATTTAATTATTAATAAAAAATGGAAGAAGATCCTTTAAAGTTAAGGACTATGATATATACATGTAGTCATCTATGTCTCTGGCTTATGACACTGAATTAATAATGACATTTTCCGCGAACATCCCAAATAAACACACAATATTTTTTTAATGTGATGTATATATATTTTTTCATCTTTGATTAAATATAAACAATATCAATGATATGTAATCAGATTTTTGTAAATAAAATCTCATTGATAAATGATTAATTAAACAAGATATTTAATATCGGCGAGTTATTGCCATACTGTATAATAATTTGGTTATTAATGAAGATTAAAAAAAAAGGTTCTTGCATCTTTATACAATATCAATGAAATGTAAAAAAATGTAAATAAAATCGCTTTTGATTAATTTAACAAGAGATCTAATATCGGCGAGCTACTGCCAAACTACCCGAATAACAATCCTTCCGACAGTATGACAGTAAGTTCAGTAACTTGCTGATCTAGTTTAATTAATAAAGCGTGATTTTGTTTATAAAAATCTTTGTACATGTCATTCATATTGTTTGTATTTAATAATTCTTAAAAAGTTCATAAATGAAATTACTGGCCGATTCCGGTAATAATTCCCCGATTCCAGCAGTATGACAGCTGGGACATACGATATATCGTATGTCCCAGATGACAGTTACTTGCTGATCATAATTAAATCTCCTGTTTTAATGAATCAAATGTGTTTTTTTATAAAAAAATCTTATTACATGTCATTAATTGTCTATATTTTATAAAAGTTTAAAAGTTCATGAATAACAAAATTACAGGCCGATTCCGGTAATCATTCCTCGATTCCGGCAGTATGACAGTAACTAGCTGATCTTAAGTATGTTGCTTAATTAATCGTAAGCGATTTTTATTTATAAAAATATTTTTACATGTCATTAACATTGTTTATATTTTATAAAAGATGCAAGATTTTTTTTAAAAGTTCATAAATAACAAAATTACAGGCCGATTCCGGTAATCATTCCCCGAAACAACACGCTTTCTGTAACAGACAGACCCTCCCACTATGAAATATATCAGCATACCGTATATTGGCACCCCACTGTTTTGTAGTATATCACACTTCCCAATACACAGCTCCCAATATACAGCTCGTTTACTTCCAATAAAGTGACAGTATCATCTGTGCGTATATAGTTAACATCCATATCTCACTGTTTTATACTTTACGGGTATAGATGATTTGTTTACTATTTAAGACTAAATAATCTATGTTTCAACGATTGACTTATTCGCAATCTTTGTAATATTTTTATGGTGCACCAATAACGCAAATGACGACAATTGATTTGATACTCCAGAATGACCATGAACTGTCAAGTAACTGCCTGGTAAAACATTGATTTCATGTGAATATTTTATAAGGTTTGTATTGTTTAAATAAAGATTCAAATAAAAATTATTGCATGTAATTATAAATCGACTACTTTATGAAATCAAGAATTGAGTTTTGCAAACATAAAGAAAGACTAAACTGGCCCATTGTTATCCGTCATTTCAAACAATCCTCTGTTAGCAATGTCCTGAAAAATATAATGTAAAGACGATATTGCATTATTCCATAAAAGATCAATGATAATGTTTGTAAATACATGCAAAAATAAATGATAATAATAATATTGAGTTCACATTCATAACAAAATTAGAATCGATTCCAGTAATCCTAGACGAAGTGAAGCCGATTCCGGTAATCGCTCGTCGATTCGGTAGTATGGAAGAAATCATAGATCACCTTGTTTATTATGTAATAGCGATTACAATAAATATTATTAAATATCATTTGAATTGTTTGTATTTAATAAAATATGGCAAGATATTTTTAAAACGCTGAAATATAACAAAATAACAGACTAATTCCGGTATTTACCTGTTAATTCAGGCACTGTGATAGTAATTAGTCTATCTTAGACATCTAGTTTATAATAAGAAGTGACCTTTATTTCATAAAAAATCTTTTTATATCAATGATATTATTTGCATTTAATAAAATAACATAAAAATAACTATAGTATACAGGCTGATCCCGCCCATCCTTCCCCTATATCGGCAGTATGACAGTAATTCGCCGATCTTAGGTCTCTTGTTTTATTAATTAAAAGCGAATTTACTTACAAAAATGAATATCGTTGAAAATGTTTATATCTTATAAAAACATGCAAAAGAAATATTTAAAAAGTTCACAAATAACCAAATTACAGGTCGATTCCGGTAATCCATCGCCTATTCCGACAGGTTTCCCGTTTTTGCCGATCTTCAATATTAATCTTTTTATTATTATATAACAGCGATTTTTCATAAATCTTTTGCTTCTTATTTAATACCGATTTCAATAAACATTATAAAAATCGTTTATATTGTGTTTGTATTTAATAAAATAATTCAAGGTTATTTTTTAAACGTTGAAATATTGGTGGGGAAAAAACAGACCGATTCCGGTAATTGTCCGATAGCCCTGGTACTGCATATAATTATGCGGAATTATGCGATATGGCAGTAATTCGCCGACCTTAGATCTCTAGCTTATTATTTAATAAGGATTCTTCATTTACAGAAATCTTTTTAGATATCTATTATATTGTTTGCATTTTTTTCTTGCAAAGTCCATAAATTACAATAATACAGGCCGATTCCGGTAATCATTCGGCTATTTCGGCTGTATGACAGTATATGTAACTCGCCGATCTTCGATCTCTTGCTTTATTAACCAAAGGCGAATTGAAATTTACAAAATAAAAGAATGAAAGAAACTTTTAAATATCATTCATAATATTTATATTTTATAAGACGAATATTAACAATGCAACAGAAACGTTAAAAATGTACAATAGACTAAATTATACGTCGATTCCGGTAATCCTTCGTCGATTCCGACAGTATGGCAGTAACTCGCCGATATTAAATATCTTGTTTAATTAATAAAAAGTGATTTTATTGACAATAATCTGATTACATATTATTGCTATTGTTTATTTATAATCAAGGGTGCAAACATTTTGTTTAAAGTATAAAGATAAGCAAATTACAGGCCGATTTCGGTAATCCTTTGCCGATTCCGGCAGTTTGCCCGTTTTCGCTGATCATAAATATTTGTTTATTATTATTATTTAAAAGCGATTTTTTTCACAATCTCTAGGAAGATTAATGATAATATTTAGTTTTTATAAAAACATGCAAAAGGAACATTAAAAGTTGCATAAACAACGAAATAACAGGCCGATTCCGGTCACTGGCAGTTTGGCAGTAGCTCGCCGATATTAGATCTCTTGTTAAATTAATCAAAAGCGTTTTTATTTATAAAAATCTTTTCATAAATCATTGATATTGTTTATATTTTATAAAATTGCAAGAAAAAACTTAAAAAGTTTAATTATTACAAAGTTACAGGTCGATTCCGGTAATTCACCGCCGATTCCGGTCGATTCCGGTAATTCGGCCGATTCCGGTAAGTCGTGTAACCGTGTGTAGTCTATAGCCGGGCAAGCAAAAGCTTCGCGGGCCCGGTCTTTGACTTCCCCGTATAAAATTTGGCAACAAACCAGTCTTTTTTCAAGAAAATATCCAGTTATTATTATCTCTAGGTTGTTGTCACAGTTGTCATGGTGCTAAATCTTAAATGTAGCCCATTATTTAAACATTTTTAATTTAAAAATAATAAACATGAAATGTCTTGGTATACATTCTTATCTTGTGAATACACAAGATACAATGCAGTTGTTGGACAAGGGGCATATTCTGAGATTTTTGAAATTATGCCCATTTTTAGATTAGATTTTTTTGTCAAAAACAATTGTCTTAACAGACGAGCATTAACACTATATGCGGTGCTATTATTTCTATCATCCATGAATTTAAAAATCTGCAGTCTTGGTACAAATTTGTGTGCAATCTTTGAAATAATAGGTGGATCTCATAATAGCTTGTACTATGATGGACACTGCATACATTGTAATAGTGTAATACATAGTTTTCGTGTGACGTCACACATCCGGGCGCTTCATCACTAGGTCGCCATCTTTAGAGGCAAGCGGAACGGTCACGGTATCACGATTTCTTAAAATAAAATTCTAAAAATAAAGCAAATATGGTAGTTTCCTGTTGGGTGAAAGGTTGTACAAATAGACGTGACTCATCGATCCAACGAAGTTTTCATTCAATACCGAAAGTAAGAGAACATGAGGGAGTCAAAACAAAGGAATTGAGCATTGAACGAAGGCGGTTGTGGCTGGCGAACATTAATCGCAAGGATCAGCCAACAGATTCCTCGAAGATCTGTTCTGACCATTTCGTAACAGGTTGTTATGTGTTTTTATTTTGAATGTAAATCTCCATTTGACGTCAATGACCTTGAATCAAGCTTGATATATTTTTTTTCTTTATGTTCAACAAAATGAAACACCACTCGGTCCAGTGTGTGCTATTTGGAAGAAAGAATAGAATAGAATTGTTTTTCCCTGTTATATTTGTCCGACTTTAACAGTAAAAATTTCTAGTGTGAAATACTTTAAACTATGCTTTTTAAGGGTTTTATTATCAAAATAAAAAAAGTTGATATGGACTGACCACAAAGGCCAAAGTGGTATAGGGGTGCAGCACCCTGCTTAATGTGTACTATCTAAAACCCTATGATAGATTGATGTGGTGTGTCTTTGACATCCAAAAGATTTTATCGAAGAAATTCATATTTTGCAGGCAAACCAGCAGATCTGTATGACAAACCCAACCCCGACTGGGCCCCAACTCTGAATCTGACCGATACACTTACACCTTCAAAATCGGAAAGAAAGAAACAAAGAGTGGAGACTGACCGTAAAAGGTATTTCTTCATATTCATTTAAATTTTTATTTTATATTACAATATTTAAACAATAAAACATTGCCTTGAGGGCAATATGCAAGTTAACGGACTGATTGGTCAGACTGAGGAAGATATTATGGCCCGAAGCACAGCTGTTGTATTATACCGACTCTAAATCCTTTCATCCCTTTTGTTGTCATTTCTGTTGTTTCTACTATAATTTGCTTTCATATAATAATTCATTTGTGAAGTGAGTGCATTATCTAATTAACAAAACAATAAATTCAGTAAAAGAATAATTTAACAACAAAATAATATATGATACCTCATTTGTATACCCCTTTCATTTTTAATATGATGGCATCCGGTCCATAAACCGCATACAGACCCAGGGCGGTACATAATTCTTATATGGACTGGATGACGTATAAAGTTTATAAATGTTTCATTTAATGTTTGCCATTATTATTATTTAATATTCTTACATTTATTTGTTATAGTTTTGTTGCATTTTCCTTTTTTGCAGGTATGAGAGAGCCCAAGAGAGGGGAATAGTTAAGAAAAAGCATCATGCAGCCCGAGCATTGTTGGAGCTTGCCAGTGACCCTGGGCCAGAATTCATTGCTACGCCATTGTATGACTATTGTGAGGATATCCCTGAACCTAAGCCGGTATGCCAGTTTACCTTAACAGGACAGCTAAGTGATGAGCACAATGCTGATGAGGAGTATGTTCCAGATCCAATCAACAAGAGTCAGGTGGATTCTGAACTTCAGAGACTTTTGTCTGAGAACAGAATGCTGAAATGTCAGCTCAGTGAATATAGGTTTAATGTGGAAAGCTTTGAGAATAACACGGACAAGGTGAAATACTTCACAGGACTACCTAACTATTTAGTCCTAATGGCCCTATTTGATCTGGTAAAAGAGCACATACCAACACCCAGACATAACACTGACTTAGGAAAATTTGAAAGACTGATTATGACCTTAATGCGATTAAAATTAAACATGCCAGTTCAGTATTTAGCATTCAGATTTAGAACATCCCCTGCAACTGTATCAAAGACATTTCTAGTTATCATTCATATCATGTACTGCAAACTAAAAAAGCTTATTTATTGGCCAGAAAGGGAAGAGTTAAGAATGACAATGCCATTGGAATTTCGCAAACATTTTGGGCAAAAAACTGCAGTTATAATTGACTGTTTTGAGGTGTTTATTCAAAGACCAAAAAACCTTTTGGCCCGGGCACAGACATGGTCCAACTATAAACACACAAACACTGTGAAATTCCTTATTGGAATAACTCCCCAAGGTTCTGTTTCTTTTCTCTCAAAAGCTTGGGGTGGAAGGGCCAGTGACAAGTTTATAACAGAGAATTGTGGACTGTTAAGCCATTTATTGCCAGGAGATCTTGTGTTAGCGGACAGAGGATTTGACATTTCGGACAGTGTTGGAATGTGTTGTGCTAGTGTGAACATCCCAGCATTTACTAAAGGAAAGTCGCAACTCTCAGCTCTTGATGTGGAAACAACTCGAAAAATTGCCTCAGTAAGAATTCATGTGGAAAGGGTTATCGGGCTTGTTCGAAACAAATATACAATGTTACAAGATAGGTTACCTATTGATTTCCTTATGTGCACAGATGGAATTCCGGCTGTTGATAAAATTGGAACTGTGGCTTGTGCCTTAACTAATATGTGTGAATCTGTTGTTCCATTCAACTGAATGATGCCAGTTAAGATGTTATAATGTTATGTCAAAAACATTTTGATAATTCCAGGACTTTATCAGACTATTTTCCCGTGTGTTAAAATAATAAGATGAAAGCTTAAGATGTTATAATGTTATGTCAAAAACATTTTGATAATTCCAGGACTTTATCAGATTATTTCCCGGTGTATTAGAAATAATAAGATGAAAGCTTAAGATGTTATAATGTTATGTCAAAAACATTTTGATAATTCCAGGACTTTATCAGATTATTTCCCGGTGTATTAAAAATAATATGATTATTTGTCATTTAATTTATTTTTTGTTATTATGTTGTTTTACTTTATTAATAAAGTAATTAAAATGCACTAGGTTATTTCATTTAAAGTCAGAACTTAAGAAACAGAGTGTCCAGGACTCCTATAATTGCTTGCCAATATGCCAATTATGAATATCAATAAATTGTGTTTCTTGAAGGTCAAAGTCAAACATGCATTCAGTCCGGGTCAAGAAAGAATTTTTGTTAAAAAGCCCTTATTTAGAGATGCTGTAGCTGGTGACGAGATCTTGATGAAACCTCACTGACCTTAATATATTTAAACAAGATGTAAAACAAATCCATATTTTAGTATTTAATTGAAATATAGCATAAATACTCAAGGAAAGACAAGGTTAAAGCAACATACACAACTTTTTTGATAGTCTTTTCTGTGAAACACATATTTTTCTAGAATACAAAAAAGTCATATTTCATTTAATATATTTCTTCGGCTTCTTGCGTTTACCTTGGGAACAGTACAGGCAGAAATATTTCCCTTTTGGGGCTTGTGAAACACAATTTTTTTCTAGAAAACAAAAAGTCATATTTCATTTAATAGCTTTCTTCGGCTTCTTGCGTTTACCTTGGAAACAATACGGGCAGAAATATTTCCCTTTTGGGACTTTTCTTATCCCTACACATGAAAAATGAAACCAGACATAAGGACAATTTTCATCATCACACCCAATTACATCATCCTCATCTTCATCATATGGTTTCTGACATAGACAAATTATTTCACAGTCCTTTTTTGCTTCACTGTCTACTTTATTTTGTTCATGCTGCACATTTTCTGTTGGTTTCAGAACAGCAATTTGTTGCAGCTTATCTTTAAGTTTTATCTTGTTTTCATCTGATTTTTCACCTGATTTTTGTGCATTTTCATCTGCCTTCTTTTTCTTTGACTCCAGCATGTCCCGGGTTACAAAGTTACCCATTAACTCTGGTAATACAACCTGAACAAAGAAATTTGTTGATTTTGTGACAATTTCATCATGCGAATCTTGGTCTGGCTCTATCCTCTGAACAGTCATCTCTTCTTGTGTCCAAACAACAAAGTCACAGAATTCTTTTTCTGTAATAAGCATCTGTGTCTGAACCTGGTAATAGTATTTGTGATTTTCTTTTAATTTGCCATGATTCAAAAACTCTATTTTGTCATCAGACTCACTAATCTTCTTGTCTTTAACACAAAATGGACATTTAACTTCAATAACACCCTCGCCACAACAGTCACAAGAGACAAGTCCGTCCGGGCTTGCCCCAAGGTGTGGATACTTTGGATTTATGAATAATCCACACTTATCAATCTTTACATTGGTATGGTCCTTTTTGTATTGGGCTGAATATTCCAAAAGGGCTGAACTCTCATGGCGACATCCCCACATTATGGCTTTGTTGGAATATCTGCTGGTGCCACATATGCTGTTCAACGTGGACATGGCTGGCTTCTCAATTGATGCAGAACACACTGCTTTCATGTTAGAGGCTGTGATTCTGCCGGTCCTTAAGGCATGCCACTCCTTACATTGACTTTGGTCTCTCGTCAGATACTCTGCATTATGTGCTTGATCTTTTGTGACCTGCATTTCACTGAACACTTGTCTGCATTTTTCTTTCAATGTTTTTGGACTCAAAGCCATGTTTTCATCAGTTTTCATACTAATGAGAGTCAACGGCAAGTTACCTTCTTTCAAAATATTGGGTACATAATCGCTTTGGTAATCCTTTTTCACTGATAGAATAGCACATTTTGCCTGAGAACTGAACAATTTGTCATTTAAGGTTTTCATTTCATCTTCTGTTGTTTCAGGAACATTAGGTAACTTTATGCTGCTTTTTTTAACAACTGAGTTTCCACATACTTCACTATCCAAATGTTTCTTTTTTGTTGATGCTGAGGTGAAATCAATACCACCCACCTCAGAATATGGCACTCTGTCAATGCCCGTGGGCATAAGCCAGTAGGCTTTTTCTTGAGTCACTGTCTTGTTGGAATTTATTCGGTTAGCCTGATCGACGAAGAACAGCAAGGCCCCAACATGACTACATGCCTCGCCCAGTCCAGCCATGCAATCACAATGGGCAGAATCTACGGTGCCTTCCGGTGTTGCTATAAACCAGGGTCTCAGGGCTTTTTCGTTCATTCTCTGTGAATGCCTAACCTGAAAGTACAAATGAATTTTTTTTTATAAAAACTTTAGTGAAAGTGTAAACATTATACACTCAAAGCGCCATTTTTTTGGTAATTTTCGTGGGTTGTAAGTGTCATTGATAATATTTAAATTATTTCCTTTTGGTTACTTCACAATATTTCACCTTTAAATACTTTTCAAAAGTTTCATGAAAATGATAATCTGGAGGCGTGCTGCTTTAAAAGCTTACCCTTCCGATGACAACAATCTTGTTGTTGACAGTTATGCTTTTGACATCTTGCACCCATCCATTCACAAATTGATTATAAGCCTCGAGGGACTTCACAGCTTTCAGCTGTTCCATTGTGTAGGCACTTCTACTGTTTACGAGGTAGTTGATAATGTCAATATATGTGACAGGCGGTAGACATGCATAGTCGCTTGTCAGGCCTTTTTTTAATTCATATGGATCGAAACCTATCACATCGATCTTCTGATTGTATCTTTCCAGTGTTGCTTTATCTAAACTATCTTTGTACGGCTTTTTTGGCTGCTTTTCTGACATTTTTGCGTCTTTTTCTGTTATCGTTATTGAAACTTTCTCTCGCTTCCGCTTGCCTCCCAAGATGGCGGAGTTTCCGGAAAACGCGCACCTGCTATAGCTTACGAAAACCATGTATTGTGTAGTCTCTTAACTTGGAACTGTCACATTGATTTAACATACAGTCATTTTAAACGTTGGTATCTTTTAATTCATCATGTGTATTAATTGATATCACTCATGTTGTTGAACTCAGTTTTTTAACGCCTATTACACAATGTATCTTAATCTTACTATATAAGTGTCCCATTATTTTCCCTTGGTGCTTTTGTCTACTTGTTAATTTACAAAATTTGTAGGGCAATTTTCTTTGTAAATTTGGGAGTTTATATGTTAGAAGTTGGGAAATTTTTGTCTATTTTTTATTGGGGGCAGTGGTGTTTTTCTGGTATTTGTTATAAATTATGAGGAAAAAAGTTAATGTTTGTATAATTTTTACCAACCTTGCAACTAATTTGTATTTAAAAGTTGAATATATGCAATAATGTGAATATTTTATTGAATTTAAGACAAAGGATTAAAGGGCAAGTCATTAAATGTTAAATGATCACATGTTATTAAAAATATTGATTAATTACAGGACAACTCATGAGTTCCTTTTTGGGGCACTGGCTGAGCTGGTTGACAATGCAAGGTAATGAATAAAAAAAAATCTCACTAAACTGTGGAAGGCATTGCATGAAAACATTATATTTTTCAGACTGAAAATAAAAGTTCAAAATAAATATTTCAAGGCACTTTTAAAAATAAAGACTTCATTGATAAAGATTAATCCAAGGAACATATGGTGATTAAAGCATTTTGAGCTTCTTTTGAATTTGTAATGACTTTAAGAGTGAGTGTTACTAACTTACTAGTGTTCCAATGAACTGTGATGATATTGATGGCTCTTAGTAATAAAAAAGATATATATATAGACAAATGTATTTAACTAAAATGTTTTTGTAGATTGTACAGGCTTGAGCTCACATTTACATTGTGCATCATAGATGTACTTTACTTTAAGTTACTTTTAACTTGTAGTTTTAAAATTAAATACATAAATAAGAATATGTACATTTTGTATGTAAAAATATTCAAAACTGAATGTACATGTGTATAGAGATTTTAATGCTGACAATATTTTATATTTTTCAGAGATGCTAATGCTACCAAGCTGAGTATATTTACATGTAAGTTTTTATTGATTGTTGATATTTTGTTCTATGACAGTTGATATCAGTACAAATTATATCTGTCCAAAATATTATTTATAGAAAACAAATAAAGATGATATGGTCAAAAGTTAAAAAGGTCTTAAGAACTGTTAACATTCTAAAGTTAAGTCTTAGAATTTTCCCCATGTATTTGTAAAGATTGTAAATCAAAAAGTAACAATACTCAACTGTCTACTGTACTTAATATGTTTTTGCAAGCCCCTGGTAAATTGAATATATCCCTACATATGTATGTTTCAGTGTTTGATGAAAGTCTACGTGGAGGTTACATGTTGTGTTTCCTTGACGATGGCGAAGGAATGGATCCAAGTAAGTCATAGTAAAAGTCATAGTAAAATTTTGAATATTGTCTAGCTTTTACAAAGGTTAATTCATAAATAAGACTTGTTGTGCTTTGATTTTGAAAACTAATAATTGCAATTGTTAGAAAATTTGATAATTAACTCCTAGCTCATTTGTCCCATACTGACCAAGATCAGCCAGCACATATATGGTGTCTGTGCCTGCTGATCTAAGTCTGTTCTATTTGTTATAACTTTTTAAATCAAATTTCCGTAGTTTCATCATTCACTTGTGTTTCATCTTAATGAGGTTGTCGGGGTGGGGATACATAGGAAATGCATTGCCCGTTCTTGATAATGCATGTACCATTCTATCACCTCCATTGTCTAATCTTAAAATTTCAATGTAATTAATAGTCAATTTAAAATTTATAACTTTCAGGTGAAACCTCTGACATTATTACATTTGGTCGTTCAAACAAAAGGAACCTAGATGATCATTTGATAGGCATGTACGGAAACGGTCTGAAATCGTAAGTGTTCTCATTAAGTTATCAGATCTTGTTGAGTAAAGTTGGGATATTTTGAATGTATGGTTGTTCATTTAGAAGCAACTTTGTGGAGACAAACTGTTTCCTTCATGTATAAAAGGTTCCAGTGCCAAAAAAAAGGTGAAAATTAGAAATGCAGAAATATGTATTGTCCTACACTGAAATGAGGCACTACCATTATTGTCCCAATGTCTGTGCTAGCTTTCCAGCTATAAAAATTCCATGCAACTGTTACTGGTTTTTGGTAAAGGTAAGTCAATAACTATAGTGGTTAATAGGAAATTATTAAGTTGCACATAAAGTGATTGCTTATTATTTGTCAATATTTCTGTTTGTGGCACCAATTATAATGAGTTTGGGGGAAAAACACCCAAGAAACCATGATTTAATAAAGTCTTGTTCTGATAAAACTGTTCTGATTATTGGGTTTATACTGTGGTTTTGATTGATTGATTGATTGGACAGTGGTTTGATAATGTACAATATTATTTTATGTTTTAAAACAGTGGTTCAATGAGAATAGGAAATGACATGATGATATTTTCAAAGAAAAATCAGACGCAAACCTGTCTGTTTTTATCAAGAACATTCCATACAGAGGAGAAAATAGAAGAGGTAAGGGCTTGGATAGAGTTCTGTATAAATATAAATAAAATAAACAACAGTAAAAAGGCAGTGGTCACATTATGACCTAAAAACTAGGTAAAATCACCAGCAAAGTGATGAGTTGCCTGGCTTCTTTTGAAATGTTTGTTGCTTTTTTTTTTTCACTTTTTCTGTCTGGAACTTGTATACCCTGCTACTGATTGAAAGAAATGGCTAAGCTTCTTTAAAACGTAATGAAACCTTTTGGCAAGGGTTCTCTTGTCACATAGTTTGCATAAAGCATGTTTTATAATGAAGATTTCTGTAAATAGCGATTTTTGTTAAAAAAAATTTTTGTTCTTCCTAACTGCTCATTTAGGTAATATTTGGACAGTACTTCTCAACATATTTTACAATGGCTGTCAGTACATCATAAAATACATGAGTAGCCATTGTTTCCTGTTTAAGGTCACTGATTTAAGGTCACTGATCTTGAATCAGTTATCTTTTGTCAGAGCTTTTAATTTGAATACTGGCCTGGAAGTTGATTAAAAAAAGAAGCGCACACAGGCAAATTATGTGGGAAAAACTATTCAGGTAACAGAATAGACTTTCAGTGGCTTTACTTGTGGTACCAGCTTGTGCCTTAGATAATGCGTTGGATTGTATGTCTTCTTCTTCACCATCAATAATATCTGAAATAAGAAATCTTTACATGTAAATAAACAGTATTAATGTGACTTGAAACCATACTTAAAAAATTGAAATATAAGAATATTTTGATATTATGACAGTTGGAATGTTTTGTTACTTTCCCAGGTGATCGTTCCCCTGCCATCATTTAAAGCTGGTAGCAGAGAGCCTCTTGATGACAGTGAAATGGGACAGGAAAGGGTAAGCTATTTTGATAATGTTGATATAATATTGTTGACTGTAAACTTAATTATATAACAATTGTTACAGAATTTATAGATCTCTGAAGTAGTAGAGTAATGTATGACCTTTCTTGGTAGAAATAATGAATTGACTTGTTACAACCTTCTATGTGCAAAATTAGGTAATTATATTGATGGATGTATAGGTACGACGGAGTGTTTTTAACCAGGTTTTCCGAAGGAAAAAAACTGGTTATTAGATTGAGGTATGTCGGCGGGCGGCGGGCGGGCGGGCGGACGGGCGGGCGTAAACAATTTCTTCTGTGCGCAACTCCTCCTACATTTCTCAACGGATTTTGACCAAACTTTCACAGAAGCTTTGTCATCAAGTGCCCTGGCGCATATTGTCGGGGTTTTGCGATTAGATAATATTTGACCTAATTATGGCCCTTTGTTTTTTTTCCTTATATATAAAATATATAGTGAACAATTTCTTCTGTGCGCAACTCCTCCTACATTTCTCAAACGGATTTTGACCAAACTTTCACAGAAGCTTTGTCATCAAGTGCCCTGGCGCATATTGTCGGGGTTTTGCGATTAGATAATATTTGACCTAATTATGGCCCTTTGTTTTTTTTCCTTATATAAAATATATAGTGAACAATTTCTTCTGTGCGCAACTCCTCCTACATTTCTCAACGGATTTTGACCAAACTTTCTCAGAAGCTTTGTCATCAAGTGCCCTGACACATATTGCCAGGGTTTTGCAATTGGTATATATTTGACCTAATTATGGCCCTTTGTTTTTTTTCCTTATATAGAATATATAGTGAACAATTTCTTCTGTGCGCAACTCCTCCTACATTTCTCAACGGATTTTAACCAAACTTTCTTAGAAGCTTTGTTATCAAGTGCCTGGCACATATTGTCGGGGTTTTATGATTGGATAATATTTGACTGAATTATGGCCCTTTGTATATTTTTTCCTTATACAGAATATATAGAGAACAATTTCTTCTGTGCTCAACTCCTCCTACATTTCTCAACGGATTTTGACCAAACTTTCTTAGAAGCTTTGTTTTCAAGTGCCTGGCACATATTGTCGGGGTTTTGTGATTGGATAATATTTGACCAAATTATGGCCCTTTGTATATTTTTTCCTTATACAGAATATAAAGTGAACAATTTCTACAGTGCGCAACTTCTCCTACATTTCTCAATGGATTTTGACCAAACTTTCACTGAAGCTTTGTCATCAAGTGCCCTGGCGCTCACTAAATTCCCATGTTTCTTCCAAGACATCATTCAAGTATTTTTTTAAAATTGTGAACATACTTTTCTTGATATCGCACAAAACACCACACGCCAATATTGTTGACAAAAGAAAATGACAAGAGACGCAAAAATGCAAAAATTAAGCAAAAATAAAGTACTGTTTACCTTTCTAAAACATTTGGGAAAAAAAGGCGAATAGACAACATAAAATTTGTCAATCATTTTTGTTTGAGGAATATTAAAAAAGCCATAATTCCTCCTAAAAGTTCAATTAAAAACAAATGCCCCTTCATGACAAAGCTTCTGTGAAATATTTTGCTGAAAACCTGGTTGCATCGCATTGCGATGTTCCTTGTTCTTATATTTCATAGCCTAAAATAGCTTTTGACGTGGGAGAATAAAAATTTTGAAACTCACTTTATCCATCTGCAGTTTGCAGTTACTGGTCTATGAAATCTTTTTGAAATTTTCAGACATGCATCTTTATAAGATGGCTTAATTGGTACAGTTAATATTATAAACACAACATGAATTTCTCTGTTTTAGTTTGCTATGGAGATGGATGTAATTCTGCGATATTCGCCATTTAAAACAGACGATGATTTCTTCGCCCAGTTCGATCGTATCGAGGGTGATTCTGGTACTCTAGTCATGGTTTATAATATGAAACTATTGGATAACGGTGACCCGGAGTTAGATATACTTACAGATCCACAGGACATTATTTTAACAAATCCAGAGTCAGATTTCGACTCAGATGATGGGTAAATTTTGTTTTTGATTTTTACCCCCTTAACTTGCTGAATTTTTGTAATGGATTTGCCCAATTTTGAATTCAGAACAGTTCATTCAAAGTTAAAGAAATTTCAGTATTGAAAAAAAATAATTGAGCTATCAACTGTAAAGAGCTTGGTCAGATTGCATGGATATATACTCTGGTCTGGCTCTTTACTGGTGGCAAAGGCTGATCTTGTTTGGTTGCAGCAGGGTTAAGGTTAAACATACAAATTAAAAAAGTATAAAATTTTGACCAGGCTGTATATTTCTTGCTGCTAAGTATAAGGATTTTAAAAATGAAATATTTTTAACTAACTGGTGACAATTCCAAATTTTAAGAATGCCAGGTACATCGCAAAACTAATGAAAGATTAGGCTAAAAGTAAGGGTTTGCATATCTTGGCTTTATATGCTTATTTGATCATCTAAGAAACTGATAGCTGGTATGCTTTACAATAAAAGTTGGTACAATTTTTTTTATGATAATGGTAAACATTGTAAGTCATTTTTCTAACTCAGAAGATAAATGCTTATTATAAGCTCGTCTGTTTCAAAGAAAAGGTCCAGCTATTATAATTTTCTGTGGCATTGTTGTCATCATTTTGCTAACACTTAAATTTATTGTATTCAAACATTTCAAGAGTAATCAACATGAAATTTGGAATATTTGCTTATCATGAGAAGGTGCGGTTGTAAGACAAGATGCAATAATTCTGAAAGAAATATTTTAGGAATTATTCTCCTTATTAACTTAAATTTTTTTAACAGATGAGCGTAATGAATGGGTTGGTGCTCTTGTCTTTCAATATTGTAATTGATAATAAATCTTGGTGATATACTGTTTAAAATATCACAGTGTATTGCAATATTTATTGTTACAGCATGACACCCGAAATTGCCTGATGACTAATACAATAGTAAGAAAATAATAAAATAAAAATTAAAAAAAATAATTTTGACTTTCAGATTAATGGCGGAAAGGAGGTCGTTTAGATCTTATGTTGCAGTATTGTATTTGGACCCAAGAATGAAAGTGTATATTCAAGGGAAAAAAGTGCGGACTCGAAAATTAACCTCGTGTTTATATAAACCTAAGCTTTATAAGTACACATCTAATAGATTTAAATCGCGAGCGGAAACAGAGGCTAAAAAAGCACTAGATGATGCTAAAGCGGCAGAAATGAAAGCCAAAGAAGCACAAAGTAAAGCAAAGGATTTAGAAGGAAGAACCAAAAGTCTCTCGAAAGCACAGTTGGTAAGAACTTATTGATGTTAACAAGGATATAACAATACTTTGATATTAATTATTATGAATACTGTTATACAGGGCTGATGAAAAAATATTCATCGTGGGTCAGATCTTATTTAACAAGACAGAATCAGCCATTCATCTACTTGGTTTCAATGTCTTAAAAACTGTTTCAGAGAAAAAAAAAACAGACTTGAACTAGTACAGTCACTTCTTAAAAGAAAGATTGACAATACTTATTCGGGTCATTTACCACCAATGTTGGTTATGGTAACATAAGCAGACCTTGTTTGTGGACAGTTACCTCCCTTGATCTATATATTATAAATTTAATGCAATACAATTACATGTTATGCTATAAAACAAGCCATGGCCAACTATGTAACAGTATACTTTGCCCTTATTAGTTTATCCTGCTATTGTTTAAAAAATTTTTAACACAAACATAGAGGATATTTGATAGTTTTGCAACACTCGGCTGCTCTATTAAAGGATTATGATTTTCAAAATTACTCGTATATATATTAGATAATGTAGAATTTTAAAGCAGAGTAAAATAAAATTGGTTATACGATTTCTCTCACGGTTAGAAGTCATATAGAAATGATTGTACTTCTATAGGCAGATTTACGGAAAGCTCAACACCAAGCTGCGGAGATGAAGAGAGAAGCCCAACTACGGCGAGACAGTGCTAATAGAAAACAAAAGTAAGTTAAATATCGGAATGATTTTCTGAACAAATAATATGCAAAAAAGTTCTAGTATGTTAAACATTATTGTGAAGATAATTCTTCAGTGTTACCTTTTTTAAACACATTTTAAAATCCGATCAAAGATTTAGGCCGTTATGTTTCAGTCAGTGATATATCTACGAACCATGCCTAGGAACATTTTTATTTGTCAGAAATCAAGTAAACAAGTTCTTGACTTCAACTAAGACCACATAATCTATACAAGCAACACATCATACAATGGTAACCTTATACAACATTGTCTAAAAATACAAGCATGTTGTCAGAGAATTCAGATTTTAAACTTGTACTAAAACATAAATTTGTGAACAGATTGTTCAGATTTGGTACTAGTACACGAATTTGTAGGTGTACTAGTACACAAATTTGTATGTGTACTAGTACACAAATTTGTTATCTGTCTTTGTCTTGGCTTTAACATATTGATTTTATATCTTTTTCAGAGCTTTAAAGGAACCAAAAACGTTAAATTTAATATTTGGTATAAATATAGACCAGCGAAGTCATGATGGGGTGTTTGTGTATAACTGTAGTCGTTTAATCAAAATGTACGAAAAAGTTGGACCGCAAGTCGACGGTGGAGTGTAAGTGAACTTTTCCTGTTTCACCTGTCACAGTGTCAGGGTAGCTTTTGTGATCGCTTTTCGTCCAGCGTCGGGCCTTTAACTTTTACTTTAAATGACATCTCCTCATAAACCACTAAGCCAATTTCATCCAAACTTCACAGGAATGTTCCTTTGGTGGTCACCTTTTAAAATTGTTCAAAGAATTTAATTCCATGCAGAACTGGTTGCCATGGCAACGAAAGAAAAAACTTAAATATCTTCTTTTAAAAAGCCCTAAGAGCTAGAGCTTAGATATTTTGCAAGAAACATCTTCTAGTGAGTGTCTACCAAGTCTGTTCAAATAAAATCCCTGGTCAAAATTGGCCCCACCCCTGGGGGTCATTGATTTTCCCTATATGCATATAGTAAAAACTTAAAAAATCTTCTTTTAAAGAACTCAAAGAGCTAGAGCTAAGATATTTAACATGAAACATGTTCCAATAGGTGTCTACCAAGTTTCTTCAAATTAAAGACTTGGGTTCAAAATTGGCACCGCCCCAGGGGTCACTGATTCTCCTTATATGTGTATAGCAAAAACTTAAAAAATCTTTGAAAAAACCCAAATAGCTAGAGTTTAGATATTAAGCATGAAACATCTTCTAGTGAGTGTCTACACAGCCTGTTCAAATAAAAGCCCTGGGGGTCAAAATTGGCCCCGCCCCATGGGGGTCATTGATTTTCCCTATATGCATATAGTAAAAACTTAAAAAATCTTCTTTGAAAAAACCCAAATAGCTGGAGTTTAGATATTCAGCATGAAACATCCTCTCTTAAGTGTCTACAAAGTTTGTTCAAATAAAAGCCTTTGGGTCAAAACTGGCCCCGCCCCAGGGGTGTCATTGTTTTTAACTAAATGTGTATAGTAAAAACTTAAAAATCTTCTTTAAAAAACCCAATGAGCTAGAGCTTAGATGTTTAGCATGAAACATCTTGTTATGGATGTGTACCAAGTTTGTTCAAATAAAAGCCCTCAGGTTGAAATTGGCCCTGCCGGGGGATGGGGGGCAGGGGTGGGGCAAGATCATTGTTTTTCATTATATGTGTGTAGTAAAAACTTAACATCGTGAAACATCTTCTAATGAGTGTCTTCCAAGTTTGTTCAAATAAAAGCCCTTGGGTTTAAACTGGCCCCGCTCCGGGGGCCTATATACAGGTGAGCGACCTCAGGGCCATCATGGCCCTCTTGTTATGCTTATGTAGTCTTTTTGCTACATTTGTCTTTAAATCAAAAGTAGTTTTACATTGAGCCTTATGTTACTATGTTTATTTTGTAACTTAAAATAGTTATGTATCCGGTAAAGATATTGCCTCACATACATACTGTCACCTTAGTGCAGTAATGGGTTAGGTCCTTCTAATTTAACAGGAGTTAACCAGTTATTGCATAAAGTTGACAATATGTGCATCAAATTTGCGACTACAAGCTTACAAGTAATACCACAGAGCCAGAGATTAGATTTCCTGACGTTGTCAGAGATTGTATTTATAGTAATCACACTTGTAATTAAGACTTACATTACATAAGGTTTTGTAATAAAAGGTTTGTCTGTGTATTTATCCGACAAGAAATGTTGTGACTTCATATTTGTTTTAGCAAGATGCTTTTTTTATAATATTGTAAACAAAAATGATGCAAACAAAATAATTTGTCAGCACGGACAAAATAATTTGTCAACAAGTTAATATACATGTGTTAGCATTTATGGAGCACAGATATTAGATAACTGCTCGGCCAAAATTGAATTTCAGATGTACATAATATTATTGACAACGTTTTCCCATCCTTAATAAATATTTTGTAAGAATTCTTATCAACAGAAACTTTAATAATATGCTTTGAATTTATTATGCCAAATTTTGTTGTTAATCACCATTTACCTGTCTCACATATTTAAATAAAGAAAATTGATGTATGTGTTTTAGGTTTTGCAGTGGTGTGGTAGGTATTGTGAATGTACCATATTACGTATTAGAACCGACACATAATAAACAAGACTTCGCTGATGCGAAGGAATACAGACATTTAATGAAGGCAATGGGTGAACATATGGTTCAATATTGGAAGGATCTCAATATAGGTAAGTTTCTGATATAGCAATGATTGTGTGTGGCTTTAGTATTATTTAATGACAGGTTGACCTCCATAAATATGCTTAATCTGGAACTTTTGTAGAGCATCTTTTCCTTGTTCTAGTTTTATATATACATCAGTTTCAAATCATCATGAATTGTGCTTTAAATCATGTAAGTTTACAAGTATAACATGAAAATACATGAACTTTATATATTTAGGCGCTTCAGTAAGGGAAATTCTGATTGTGAACTTCAGTAATGTAAAAATGACAATGTTAATCTTATACTCGTGTGCAAATTTCAGACTTTGACGATATGAATTTTGAAGGTTAATTGAAAGAGCAAACTGTATTAAACATCTAGTCAAATGTGAATTCAGACTTTTGAAATGAAAATTATTTACTTACATTATAATTTCTTGTGTATAAACATTAAAATGGTCAGCTTTCATTGGCATATTTTTACTAGATATAAATATTTCAAACTCTTGATAACAAATGGTGTTTCCCTTTCAGCTCAACAAGGAGTATTAAAGTTTTGGTGAGTAGACACTTTGTTTCTTACTTTATGCATAAATATGATCTTAGTATAAAAATATGAGTTTCATTTTCAAATTCAAATTACTGATTGTTTAATTTATTACTGGTTAACTCGTGTTTAAACTTTGTTTAAAACCTTTTGCACTGAAATTTGTTAAAACCGCTCTGTGCCATATATAGAAGAAAGAACCAATGGCAATTAGGACAGTGGTATACTTAGCTAAAAATGTAATTTTGACTCTGTTGTTTGTTTGCTACTCGTGGCTAAATTGAGAAAAATACAAAATAGAATTATTTGAATAATGAATAAGCTGATAAGTTTTATTTTAAATTCTAGGGAGAATTTTGGTTATGTCAGTCAAAGATGGAAAGATCCTCCTTCAGACGACCCTAAATATGTGAGGAAACGTGCAATGCAAATTAATGTTACTTTACAATGTGGTAAGTATATAATTATCCCTTTCCTTGCCTCTGTCCCCAAGAGGTTATGGTGTCTGACCTACTTTCCCCCTCACCTCTGTGGGATCAAATACAACTTGAAACTTTTGAATCCTTCATGTAAGGAAGCTATCTATCTAGCTTACAGGTTAGTTGTGCTACTGGTGCCCACTCGTGCCGGAAAAAATGCATTGAATAGGCACCTGAGAGAGGCAATGTAGCTTGCTCAGCTTCTTATTACCCTTCTCAAATGACTTGTTATGTCTTGTGTAATGCTTGAAAGGGCACCTGTACTTTCACTGGTATGTACTTAACTTTATCATGTGACCGTATCTGTGTGATGTCAAAACTTTAAGTGGACTGTTAACATTAAACTTATTCTTTGACTTAACAATTATAATCATAAAATTACTTTCATGTAGTTTAATAATGAAGTGAATATTTTAAATGCATACATTTTTATATTGCCAAAGTATATTATCAAAGTGACAAAAGATAAGATAAAAAAATCTTGGAATAAAAATAATATTCTAAAAATTCCTATGTTGTTACAGATTCATGTTTAAAGTGGAGATCACTACCATTTTCGTCCAGTAATGTAGGAAAGGAGTTTAGTGATGAATGGTGCTGTACAGAAAACAGTGATACACAACATAATAGGTGAGTCTTAAATGATGAATTTTAACCTTTATTCTACCAAATTTGTGTTAAGGGATGTCAATATGAAGGTATTAACTTAAGGTGCAAATCATATAGGGTCTGGTTGGTCTGCATGACTTTTAGTCTGTTATACTTATCCAGCTAGCACACAGAACATTGGTGGTTTTACTCAGGTGGGCGTTTGTGTCTGAAATAATGCTAAGAAAGGGCACTTGAGGTATATCTCCACCAGTAAAACTGGAAAGTTGCCATATGACCTATACTTTGTTGGTGGGATGCAAAACGCAACCAAATAAAACAAACAAACAAAACTTCTGTACTTGGAGCATAGGTATTATTTCAATTATCATTCAAAATAGTAGTCCATTATCATTTTCTTTCTTCAGCAGTGACACAGGGGTCAGTGTTAGTGTTTATTTTTTTGAACAAAATTTTTGTTTTGGCCTCGTCCTGCTTTAGTTTTAAAACAGTTCATCAAAGGTTTAAGGATAATACTGAAATTGGTTCAAATAAACCAAAATGGAGCAAGATTCAATTGATACAGACTTAACTAATAATTGTACATGTCCTAGAAACTAAAGTTTATAGAACCATCAGTAATTTTGAAAATAACTGATCAGACAAAATGAATTTTACAAGTAAATGATAATATTTCATATCAATATGTTTCAGATGTCAGGCACCAGAACAGAAACAAAATATTCCAGAGGGTTCGTTAAAGAAAGAGTCCAAATCCCAGGAAGAAAAACAAAAAGATCTGGAAGCAGATATAAAAAAGAAAATGAAATTATTAGAACAAATGCATGTAAGGAAATTACAAAGTTATCTTATTATGTGTATTTGATTGTAGCATAATTGTCCCCCGCCTTAACGAAGAAAAAAGGGGGACATAGAAATACGCTCCGTCCGTCCGTCCTTCCTTGCGTTTGTCACACTTTCGTGTCTGGTCCATAACTTTGTCATTTGTCAAAGGAATTTGAAATAACTTGGCAAAAATATTTGTTATAATAAGACGATGTGTCAGGCGCATCAACCAGACCCCTACCTCCAGGGTCAAGGTTGCACTTGCTCTTTCAAGATCAACATTGTCTATTTGAGGGTATGTATATGTGGTGTCCAGTCCATAAGTTTGTTATCTTTGAAGGGATTTTGTAAATACTTGCCACAATTGTTTACAATAATGAGACGATGTGTCATGCGCAACAACTGGTCACCTACCTCCAAGGTCAAGGTCACACTTGGAGGTCAAAGATTAACATGTTAATATGTCTGTTACAGGGTATATTTTGTGTCCGGTCCATAACTTTTTCAAAGATCAAAGGATTTTGAAAATACTTGGCACAAACTGTCACTATAATAAGACAATGTGTCATGCGCAACACCTGCATCCATACCTCCAAGGTTAAGGTCACACTGACTTAGAGGTCAAAAATTAACATAGTCTGTTATAGGGTACATTTTTTGTTCGATCTAGAACTTCTTCATAGCTAGGGATTTTGAAATTACCTGGCACAAAAAGTCACAATAATAAAATGATATATCAAGTACCACACTTGCAGCCCTACCTCCAAGGTCAAGGTCACACTTAGAGTGCAAACGTTAACAGAGTCTGATATATGGTATATTTTGTGTCCCCTCCATAACTCCTTCATTGATAAAGGGATTTTGAAAATACTCGGCACAAATAGTCACAATGATTAGATGATATGTCATGCGTAACACCTGTGTCCCTACCTCCAAGGTCAAGGTCACACAAAGATTTACATAGTCTGTTATAAGGTATTTTTTGTGTCCAGTTGATAACTTTTTCATAGATCAAAGGATTTTAAAAATACTTGGCACAAATAATCACAATAGTAAGACGATATGTCAGGCGCAAAACATTGGTCCCTACCTCCAAGGTCACACTTAGAGGTCAAAGATTAACATAGTCTGTTAAAGGGTATATTATGTGACTGATCTATAACTTCTTTATAAATCAAGGGATTTTGAAAATACTTGGCACAAATAGCTACAATAATAAGATGATATGTTATGCATAACACCTGCACCCCTACCTTCAAGGTCAAGGTCACACTTAGAGGTCAAAGCTTAACTTAACGTGATAGATTTTTAAATTCTGTTTTTAATTTTATTTCTTTAATAAATTTATTGTTGCATTTGCAGATCTAGAATTGATCTTAATTTTGGACTGAAAGTCTTGAGATCCATACCTCAATCTTTTGAAATAGCACAATTTTATGCTTCATATAAAACTTTCAGAGGCGGGGGACATTGGTAACTCTGTTACAAATTCTTGTTAGTGCTTTGTTGTTAGTTCTGGAAATACTTATCCCATTGTTTATTTTCATATACATGTATGCAATATATATATAGAAAAGCTGGTACTGTGACATTTTCATGTCACTTGATATAGGCCTATAATTCTTTTGTAAGGAAAAAGTCTGACCTCTTAGCCCAAATGTTAAGAGCATAGTTATGCCCCGCTTCAAAGAAGTAAGGATATATTGCTTTGCATTTGTCTGTCTGTCCGTTCGTAGACCAAATGGTTTCCGAGTGATAACTAGAGAACACTTAGGCCTAGGAACTTCAAACTTGGTTGTATGATGGTTGTTCATGACCAGGAGATGACCCCTATTGTTTTTGGGGTCAAAGGTTAAGGTCATTTTGACCTTGTAGGTAAAAACAGTTTCCAATCAATAACTAAAGAACGCTTAGGCCTAGGAACTTCAAATCTGAAATATTACAGTGAAATATTTAAGAAAACAATAACTCTGTCTTGGGTAAATTTATTGTATTGTTCTCCAATTCCATAACACTTTACAAGTAGAAATATAACACTGTACTTGTAAGAATAAAATAAATAAACTTGCAATATCAATTTATACATCACTATCATGTCATGTTGAAATGGCCATTTAAAAGTTATTTCAGTTACTACTATATTCTCCTGTGGCCATTGTAAGAAATGAAAGTAATAGACAACAATTGATTATCAGTCTCAAAATTACAGAAAATCCATGTGAGCTTCATATTCTTGTCCTGTATTAAGATTAAAATACTTCACAGTGAACTCAGTCTCACCAACAATAAGATGTAGATCAAAATTCCACATATCTGGCCATCCATCTGATGGTGGTATAAGATTAACTGTTCCTACTAAGCTACAGCCCTCCTCCTTTATACAGTAATGAGGATCTTCTCTGGTAGATCTATATAGATTTATAAATTTCACTTCTTGTTTTTGTCCTGCTTCAGTTTCTGTTTCATACCCTAAGGATATAAATGTCTGTCCATACTCCACTATCTGACCTTTTTTTATCATCTTCTCAAATATTTTGTCACAATAAATGACCCCATCAAGGTTAATCCTAAGTTGTTCTGGATCTATTCCCACTCTGAATGGTTCTATAATATCTAATCCGTAAGTGTACCTGGACCTACGTTGAATGATGTTTTTAGGTTTCCAGCCCATCATCACTGCCCCATTTAACACAGCCAGTCTAGCATCATCTACAAGGATAACTCTCATGTTACAGAACTGTGTTTGAATTCTCTCCCTTACGTAGGGAGATTCACTGTATCCTCCAACTAAAATAATTGTTTTCATTTCATTTTCATCACATTGGTCTATTACTTCAATCAACTTGCTAATTATTTTATCAACTGATGGCTTAAATAATTCTTCCAGCATCTCTCTTTTGATTGAAAGTCTAGCATCAATAGAATGATACTCAATTTTTCTGGCATATTTTGACTTTTTAACTATATCATTTAAGTTCTTTTTTTTACTCTTTATTACATGCACCAAAGCATTTTCCATTTTCAATAGTATTGTATTTGTTTGTGATTTAAACTCTTTTTTCTTCAATCTAAACTCATTAACAAGGCTTACACAGGCTGATGGGTAGGCAGTTGAGAATTCACTCCAAACCTTTTTCCCTATTAATGTTTTCATCATGTTAATAAAACATTCATCAACTTCACTGCCACCAGAGGTTTCACCAGTTGCGCGGTATAGTTCTTGTATTTTGCCACCATCTATTATTTTATGAGCACATATGTCTGTTGTCCCTCCACCTAAATCAGCAAGTACGTACATAAACCCACATGGCAATTCTTTTGTCATTATTCGTGGTGTACTGTATAAAGCTGCTGCTTCTGGCTCAAGAACAAGACGAATATGTGTCTCCAGAATTCCTGCTTTTGTTGAAGCTTCTCTCATAAACTGACGTGCCGAGTCCGATGATATTGCTGGTATTGATATCATCCAATGAATGTCAGTTTCTTTCAGCCCAAGTTTTGATTCACATACTATCTTTGATGCTTCATCTTTTAGATGTTTTATAGCTATTGAAAAAACTGTCATAGCTTCAAGTTGTTTACCAGAAATATCTTTAATTACCATTTCCCTTTCAATTTTACTTTCTTCATATATTTTCATTTTAAAGTTTTCAAAGTAGTAAAATTTGGATCTGTTAAGTTTTGAAAGCTCATGAAAATCAGTCTGTGCTTTGTATCCAAATGAATGGAATGTTTTGTCTGGATTTAGTAACAATATTGTAGGTACTCTATCTTCCTGCAGCATTCCTCCATGTTCTCCTGACTTTATGTTGTCTTCATTTCCCATAAAGGAATATGCAAACCCGGAATGGACTGTTCCAAAATCTATGGCTACTACAACAAGAGGCGTGTCTACTTTTTTCTCTAGTTTTAAATCCTGAGATTCCGTCTTTCTGCTTTTTTTACTTTGTTCAGTTTGTTGTTTTACTGTTGGTTGTATGACTGCTCCCATACTTGTTACAGTTTTACGTTTCCAGCTTATCTTAACTTATTTTCCAGTTAAATTTTGTACCTGGCTTATTTTTTATACACTGTCCTGATATTTTTTCTCTTGCTTACAGTGTTTTGTTGATCTATTTGTTAGTTGTATGACAGTGCTCATGACTTCATGACTTTTTGTAGCATTGTTAAAGTGTTCAATTGTAATCTCAGTAGTGAATTTACCTTAAATAGAAGATGAAAAAATCTTTTTATCATCTTTTGTGATTATATTATACTGTAATTTAGACATTTCATTGCCAATATTTCAGTAATGATTCATTCTGTACCAGAATTTTGATAGTGTATTTATTTTGGTAAATATAAAAGGGACGATTATCAATTTTGATGGATATTAAAGGTACTCCACTGAGGCTTTTGACATAACTACAGAGATTTGTATACCATTTGATGTAGGTGTAGACCAATAACTTGTTTTAATATTTTAATTCCCTCATTTACCAAAAGTAATATTTGATTTTAAGTGTTACAAACATGCATATAATCACACACACTTAAAAAAAAAAAATTTTTAATACATGTAATTTCATTCTTAGCATTTTTCTCTATTATCCTTTGTACCGCCTCCATGGTCGAGGGATTAGAGCCGACGACTTCTAATCCAGTTACCTCTCAGGCGAGGGTTCGATCCCCGGTAGATGCTTTGGTAGTTTAGCACGGAGGAAGGTAGTCTAGTACTGGTGTAACTCTCAAGGAACAATGGTTAGGAAACTATCGCCTATATGACTGAAATACTGTTGGGAAAAGGCGTAAAATGAAACAAACAAACAAATCCATTATCCTTTGCAAATATTTCAAGTGCTTCACTTGAAGCATGTTTATATTTAAGCCTTTAGACCTCATTGGAGCTCCTTTAATGATAGGTCAGAAGCGAAGAAAATTTGATTAGAAAATGCTGATTTATTATTATTGATTTTAACATTTCATAAAGATTTTCATTAATATTCACCTACCATAACATCTTGTATAATCCTATTTTGCAAAATTGTTACAACTTCAATTGAGACATGTGCCATGCATTTACATGTTTTATTTTTTTTTCATCCATGTTTAAAACATAAAGATTTTAAATTTTAAAAGCATTAATATTTAAAATTTTTATTTGGGTTTTTTAAATTTTTAAAAACCTTTTCTTGATTGCCAAAAATTTCTATTTATTTTTGTTATTTAATTTTGATAGAAAAAATTTAGATATTTTTGGGAATATTTTATGCCAATTTAAATTTTGCCCCACCCTAAAAAATGCCTTTTTTTGTTGTTAAAATGATTTGTATTTTTTCTAAAAAAACCCCTTCCTTATAATAAGCGTCCCATTATGAAGCAAGATGAATGCCCAATAATAAAGGACAAATTGTTCAAGAAAATTATGATGACAAATATGAACAATAATTTATTGTTTTTTAAAAGAGAGGGTATACTGTTTTGCTAATATTGATTGGTGCGTCGGTAGACCACATAGTTTCCGCTGATTGTCTTAAAAACTATTTATCACAAAGTCTTCATATTTCACATATTTACTGGTCGTAAATAGAAGATGACCCATATTGATTTTGGGGTCAATACATCAAAGTTCAAGGTCACAAGGGCTTTAAATGTCAAAATGGTTTCCACTCATTATCTTGAAAACTATTTATCACAAAGGATTTATATTTCACATAGTGATTGATCATAACTAGTAGATGACCCCTATTGATTTTGGGGTCATTAGGTCAAGGTCACAGGGGCCTTAAATGGCAGAATGGTTTCCGCTCATTATTTTGAAAACTGTTAATCACAAAATCTAATATTTCAAGTACTGATTGGTCATAACTAGTAAATGACCCCTACATACTTTGGGGTCAAAGGTCACAGGGGCCTTAAATGTCAGATTGATTTTTGTTCATTATATCAAAACATTTTAAATATTGATTGGGCATAACTAGTAAATGACCCTATTGATTTTGGGGTCAATAGTTCAAAGGTAAAGGTCATGTGGGGCATTAAACATCAGAATGGTTTCTGCTCATTATCTTGAAAACCATTTATCACAAAGTCTTCATATTTCACATATTGAGTAGTCATATGTATTAGATGACCCCTATAAATTTTTGGGTCACCAGTTCAAAGGTCAAGGTCACATGTGCCTTAAATGGTTTTCGTTTGTTACGCTGAAAGCTATTTATCACAAATTCTTCATATTTCTAATAGTGATTGGTCATAGCTAGTACATGATCCTTATTGATTTTGGGGTCACTAGATCAAAGGTCAAGGTCATAGGTGCCTAAATGTAAGAATGGTTTCTGCTTATTATCTTAAAACTATTTATCACAGGGTCTTCATATTTCACATATTAAAGCGTCATAACTAGTAGATGACCCCTTTTGATTTTGGGGTCACTAGGGCAAAGGTCACAGGTGCCTTTAATGCCAGAATGGTTTCCGCTCATTATCTTGTAAACCATTTATCATAAAGTCTTCATATTTCACATATTGATAGGTCATAACTAGTAGATCTCCCCTATTAATATTGGGATCACTATGTCAAAGGTCAAACGCACATTAAAGACCTTAAATGTCAAAATGGTTTCTGCTTATTATCTTGAAAACTATCTATCTTAAAGTCTTAATATTTCACGTATTGATTAGTCATAATGGGTCAATAGTTCAAAGGTCAAGGTCTTTATGTTTCACATATTGATTGGTTATATCTAGTAGGTCATTATTTTTCTTTTTTCCATAACCATGTACTTCTATGTGCCCATTTATGGCAAGTTTCTATAACAAAATTATCATTAATATGAGTCAAGGGCTAGAAAGGGGGCATATGTGTTGTTCAACATTTCTTGTTAATGATTGGGATATCTTATTCTACTTATTTAAGTTTTTAGAGAGGGAAAAATTTCATTTTGAGAATTTTATGAAATACCAATCCTTCTATTAGGTTCCTACAAGTGATTTATATTGCTAGGCTTGCAGTGATACAGAATTTCAGAATAGGGTGGGATTAGTAAATTGAAGATTGCTTTCCACATTGGTTTAAACACTGTCAGGGCCGTACCATTTTTCCCTTGAGCAAGAAACTTTACAAATGCTTGCTTAGTACTGTTTGTTTTAAGAAACCGGTACACAATAGTGCATCTTTAAAGTTACAGCTTCCTACAAAATCAAACTAAAATAATTCGAAAATCAAACTAAAATAATTAGAAAATCAAACTAAAATAATTCCAAAATCAAACTAAGATAATCCAAAATCAAACTCAAATAATTCCAAAATCAAACTAAGATAATTCCAAAATTAAACTAGAATAATTCCAAAATCAAACTAAAATAATTAGAAAATCAAACTAAAATAATTCCAAAATCAAACTAAGATAATCCAAAATCAAACTAAGATAATCCAAAATCAAACTAAGATAATTCCAAAATCAAACTAAAATAATTCCAAAATCAAACTCAAATCATTTCTTTATAAACTGAATTTTTTTAGAAAAACCGAGTTGTGAGCTCATCACGTGAAGCACAAGAGATGGATAGAAAGAAAGAAGCAGAAGAAAGGAGGAAACAAGAGGAAGAAGAAGAAGAGAGAGAAGAACAAACAAGGAAGGAAGCAGCAGAACTAAGACAGAGAAGAAAGGTAGAGGAGGAGAAACGAAAACAGAAAGAACTAGAGGAGAAAAAGAAAAGGAAAGAACAAGAAGCAAAACAGAGACAAAAGGTAGGATTGTGGTATTTAATTTGTAAATGGTTGGATTTTGGTATTTTGTTCGTTAAAGGTAGGATTTAAGTATTTTGTGGTATTTTATTTGTTAGGTTGGATTTTGGTATTTTATGAAGGGAAAAAAGATATTGTTCTTGAAGTTAAAAATTTATTTTTGCAAAAATACTTGTGTATGATTTTGAATAAGTTACGTTGATCTAAGTTAAAAGTTAGCTCATAATAGGACATGGATTCCCACTTATTTCTGGGTTTTATCAGTCTAAAGCAAATCTAGATGACTTTCTTCTAACTAGTGGGAGCACCTTCTAACTAGTGGGAGCATAAAATGCTTGTGAGAGAAACTTTTTGCGGATCATTTTGAATATTGTGGTCTGTTTAATCAAGTTAGGTATAAATTATTGTTCAAATACTTGAAGAGAAAATTTCTAAACAGGAGAACACCAACCTTTTGTATATTGCTATAGTTGGTCCTGATGAGGGGTCAAGTATTGATCGAAACAAGTAGACATAAATAAAATATTGTAAACCTGTCTTGGTGTTGACATGTATTACTCTTTTACTTCAACTTATGTTGATATTTGCTATAGTTGCTATAGTTATATCAACTTAAAAAAATAACTTGAAGGAAAAAGAGGCAGAAGAAAGACGTAAGAGACGAGAGGCTGAAGAACGCGAGAGACAAAGACGACAAGAACAAGATGAAAAAAGAAAGCATAAAGAAGCCGAGGAGAAAAGAAAGAAGAAAGAGCAAGAAGAAAAACAAAGGCATAAAGAAGAAGTAGCCAGAAAGAAAGCAGTAGAAGTTAAAAAGGTTAGAGAAATATTTTTGTGTCTGAAACCAGCATGCATCTAGATTCATGCTCATTTTAATGAAAATTTGAAAATGTATTTAAAAGTAAAATATTGTGAAGAGAACAAAGAAAATAATTTACAAATTGCAAATAGCACTTGCAATCCACATAAATTGCAAAAAAAGAGGTCAAAATAAGGACTTTGGTACAAATGTAGAAATTTGTGATACTGTTGAAGCTTCAGAAGCCTCGAGAACATTTTAATTCATCTTGTAGTCCCTGAAATTTCCAGGATAATTTCTTGTTTTTCTTGTTTTGAATAGTAGATTAGAATAATAGAATGTTTATTAACTAAGGTTTCAACTTAAATCGCAACAAATTCCATATATTAATGCAGTGATAATTATACTATGTGTACACTTACAGCAGGCAGCGTCAAAGAGACGAGCACCATTGTTTGCTACGGAGGAAGATGAATCTGAAGAAGAGACCCCTGTTAAACGCACAAGAAATTCAAAGGGAGGTAAACAAGAGGCAGAAGAGTCAGATTCCGAGGATGTGTCACCAAGGAGGGGCAGAAGTTCTGTTAAACCAACACCTAAGGCGGAACTAAATGGTACAGCCAAAAGTAGGCGGGGTAAATCCCCAGTTAAAGATGTGAGTACAGAATATAAAATATTATTGACATTGAATTTTATGAATTAATTTATTTCAAGAAATAGGTTGTCAAGTAAAAAATTTACCTTGCCCTTTAATTAATAATGGCAGGCTTAACCATATTAAGTCAAATTGGACTGGTAATACTTTGAATTTAAAAGGTATAATCAATGAGGAATGCCATTTAAGTTTTTAAGGAGGCCATGTATACAGGGTTTCATTAAATGGGGAATGTAGGCCAAAACGTCTGTCTCAAATACATTTTTGAGCTGCAATAAGGTACTCCTTGTTATATGTAATAAAACCACATCGGCCCCGCTTAGAAAAATTAAATGACAACCCTGTATATATAAGATGGAGCTGTTTTACTCTGTAACTGTCCTTCATGAGGAGAAACTTGTGGTTGGTTTTCTGGCACTCTTGTTAGCCTGAAAAGATCGCATGAAATTAATTTGATAATATTTTTCATTCCATGAACAATGAATTGTTTAGTGTGAGCGAAAAATAGACTTATGTAACCATTACAAGAGCAGGCAACCTATACATAATTTTATGCTCTCGGACTAGAATTCATACTGTCAGCTGCTCAATTTCATTGTATTGAAACTGAAATCCCTAAATCTACCAATGGTCTAGCCCAAATTCACAGTAGGAAAAGTCCATTTCATAAATTTGGCAATGTGAGGGTAGGCAGTGTAAAATCTTTGAATGACAATGGTCATTATGTTGCTTATGTTTGCATGTAGTATCTTGACTGTAGACAGGTTTGTTTGCATGTTTCAGGAATCTGAAATGGATGATGATGATACAGGTTTTGATAATGATGTAGATATGGACGATGTTTCAGCATCAGATGTTGATAGTAATGGTAGGTCTTTTATGATACATTTGTTAGTGATAACATTCAGGGTCCCTATAGTAGCTGTATTGTCATTAATAACTCCCTTCGGACCAGTTTGGTATGTGGATACACATCCATACAGTTTGTGACCAAACTCAATACTTCTTGTTTACCAAAGTAAACTAATAACTTTGATGTTCAGATACTTAAATCTGCTATAAAAATGTTCCAATTTCTAAACATTTTAAGTCCATCATACATATTCAGCGAAGATAGGTTAGAACATATTAAGCCTGTGAACATGTGTGTCTTGCACTGTACATGACTGTTAAAGAGTTATAAATAAATGCTTTTTCAAACCTACTGAACATACTACATCCAAGGTGTTCAAAGTATAAAGTTAGGATTTAAGTCACTACAAGTGTTGGAGCAGTACCTCCAGATTCTTGCAGAAATCAACATCACAATGTAGAACAGTCTTACATTTTTCATTCATTATCATATATAAATCAGTATGAGATGAATTAGACATTTTGAAGTTTGTGTGGGCTTTTTTGGTGAAAAGGGGAGATTTTAGCATTTATCATTCAAGTGCCTTGCCTGGTAACCGGAATATGGTGTGATACTCCGACACTTTTTAGTCTCGTTCATAAAGTTATGACATATTTTGTATATTAAACAGGTGATATAGGGAAAAAAGTTGAGGTACAAGTGAACAAGAAATGGACAGTTGGGTCAGTAGTTAAAGTTAACAGCAAAGACGGCAAATGGTTGATCAAGTTTGATAATAATAAAAGAGACAGAAATGATAAATGGTAAGTTTAGATTTTTGAGATTGTCTTTGAGGAATTGAGAGGCTATCCTACTCACCTTAAACCATGTGTTGATTTTGGTCTGCATTTTGATCAAGTTCTTGTGTGCAATTTCATTTCATGGTATTAATTTAAAGCTGCACACATTAACTCAGGGAATTAATATAGATCAGAATCAAGATCAATATAGGTCAAGAATCAAGATCCATAACTCCTTAATGTGGTGCTTAATTGTTTACCTTCTTCTTTAATTTAAGAAATTCCTGCGAGTTAAAAAGTGTGTAAGAAAGTTAAAAGTTAGTGAGAAATTCCTGCATGCGTTAAAGTGTGTAAGAAATTCCAGCAAGTGTAAAAAGTTTTTTTTAAAACAACTAATGTACATATTCACTTAAATCCTAACTTATATTTCCATGAAAATGATTTTAGGTTACTGAGAAAAAATGCCCTTTTCTTATACTATTAAAATCTTTATTTCCCTTGATAGACTCGGCATGGCTGTGTATTAAATTGATGAGCACTGTGTACTTATGACTCTTTTTTCACTATCACTGTGCATTGAATTCTTGACATTGCCGATTTCTTGTTATGAGGAAGCTCTGAGTAGTGAAGCATGTTGTTCTGATGACAAATTTTTGTATCATCATCACTTTGACTTGAATACTTGAAAGTGCATTTGAGAAGCTGTCTTAATAGTAAATAGAACACAGTTGCTGTACTTTGATGTAGAGGTGAATAATTGAGTTGCACAACTTTAGGATACTCCTATAGTACAGTTTGGATGTGTTTACATGACTGGAATTGTTCCGTAATGCTTATTATTTTAGCAGGAGAAAGTCTTAATCGTTAACCCTAGAAATAGAGGGACAATTTTGTGAATTCTGTATGATAGTTACATGATAATTTATAAAGTAACTGGGGCTGTTATGACAACTCCTAAAAGGGCAGCCCTAAGGTTTATATTGGCGCATTTTCCTATTCCTTACTTAGTTTGAATGAGTAAAAAAATGTGCATTCAAAATAAAATATGCAAGTAGATCCAAAATGTGTGTAAATCTTGGTAAAAAAACAACAGGAAAAAACGGACAAAACAGATCAAGTTTTATGAAAAATATCCAAATAAAAAATATAGATAAGGATTCCCAATTGATACAAATTTTGTGACAGTAACATACTTTGTAAATTATGTGTAGATGATAATATTTGAAATGCTACTTCTTTATTATATTTGACAATATCCCGGTCAGTATCTTAAAAGAAATTTCTAAGTGACCCATTTCTGGAGAAAAGGGAGACCAGTCTGTCCTTTGATTTTGACTGAACCTTATGGTACTGGTCATTATTTAAGAGTTGTGTCCCTTTAGATGTATTCACTGAAATTGATTTAGATCTTATTTATATTTACATGAATATTTTACCTTAAATTTCATTCTACTGTAGTTAAGATTTACTTCATATTTTGAGTTGTTTCCCTTGCATTAAAAACTGTGACACTAAAAGTTATATTACTCTATTGAGTAGAGATAAGTCATGGTGTATTTAATAACTTGAAATTGAGGTTATTTCCCTTATATAGGAAAGTGAGGCAGTAAGATCACCACTATTTATTTACATTTTTATGCCCCCACAAAGTGGGAGCATATAGCGTTGCACTTGTCCGTCCGAGTGTCCGTCCGTACATCTGTCCGAGCAAACATTTGATTATTATGAGCTTCATTCCTTAGTTAAATAAAGAACAAAAACTCATAAAATTCAAATTAAGAGCTATTTTTTTGTTTTTATGAGCTTATTTTGCTTATGGACGTTGGTCCAGGTGGTATTTATGAGCTGATTTGCCTCATAAACATCTAATTTTGGTACGTCCGTCTGTCCGTACGTCCCACAATCTTGTGAACGCAACTCCTCTTAAACCAGATGGCAGATTTTGCTTAAACTTCCAGGGATGAACAACCTTAATGTGTAGATGGTAGTAAAGGAAGGAATTTTCGCTGCGACTAGATTTAACAGAATTATGGCCCTTTGTTGATTTTTAGTTTTCAACTTGTGGCACATGTAGTCCAAAAAATATTTGACCTAGAGTCATAAGATTGACAGAACAGTGGCGTGTGGGGGCATCCGTGTCCTATGGACACATTTCTAGTTTTTTTTTAATTTTAAAGACATAAAAACAACAACAAACAATCAGCAACGACACTGCATTTATTATTAATGGTAAAATAGAACTCTAGATAAATTTTTAATTTAAGCTATATTTTTATCATGGGAGAATGTTATTAATAATGAAAAGTGCTTAAATTGAGGGTATCCTTGAAAATTGCTTAGATTTAGGGTAACCTTGAAATGAAATACTGCCTTTAATATTAATTGTATTTTTTTTTCTCAAGTGAATATTAGTATTTGAAACAAAAAAATATATATTCTTAAAGTAACATTAATTACAACTATGTGTGAATGGTCAATGAAAAGGTAAAACTAAAAGTAACTAGAAATAACTTGACATTTTGCCATAATTGTGTTCAATAAAAATTTTCTAAAAATATCGTTCAGAATGTATTAGTAATGCTCAAATATTAAAAAGAGTAGGACAGTCTTTTTATAACTTAGGTAGGTTTTTATTTTATTATACATATTTTTCATTATCAATTATTGGTTAATCACCATAATTTTATAGTCAATCTTTTAAAATAAACTACTAATTCATCTCAACTTGACAGCGAAAAAGTGCACATGATTTCACTTTAAAGTGTATAAAGCAAAAATTAAGCTATATGTTTGCTGCTTGTTACTTACAGAAATATAATTAATCTGGAACTTTTGTAGAGCATCTTTTCCTTGTTCTAGTTTTATATATACATCAGTTTCAAATCATCATGAATTGTGCTTTAAATCATGTAAGTTTACAAGTATGACATGAAAATACATGAACTTCATATATTTAGGCGCTAACCTTGAAAAGGTGCTTTAATTGAGGGTACCCTTGAAAAAAAGTGCCCAAAAAGGGCTTGATTTTGGAGAAAAGTCCATGAATATCTCTGATTCTTGTAGAAATCAAAGGCATCATTAATTAATTAATAAATAAAAATATTTTTCATAAAAAATGGTAAAGAAAATTTTGCAGAAAACATTACATCTGGTGTTCACTCAGTCAAATTTTTGTCAGTTTAACATACAAAAAACTAAGAAATATCCTCTTGATCTGAAAAAATATACAAACACAATTCATTCTCTTAAAAGATCAAGATGAAAATCAGTATTGTGCAAAATATAGGAGGTGGCATGGCCAAGTGGTTAACACATCAGAATTTTTATCTTAGGATTGTGGACTGTGTGGGTTCAAACCCTGTCAGGGGCAAGCCAATGTTTCTGTGAGCAAGAAACTTTACACTCATTGCTTGGTTGATAGAACTGGTTGGTTCCAGGAACAGATTCGAGAGTACTTCAAATAAGCTAATAGCTTCCAACACAATCAAACTAAAATAATTTCTTATAAACTAAACTAAAATATGACAGAATTGAATATTTCTACGACCAGAAATTTAATCCTGTAACTAACAAAACTAGGAGAAATATCTGCATATTTTGAAAGTTACAAGTATTTTCTAAGGATAATTACTACCTTAGGCTAGGTTAAATTTAATTTAATTTGTATATTTGACAAACTGTTTACTCATTTGAACAATCAACAAAGTTTTTTATAAAAAAATAAACAAAACTCGTGAGGCATTCTGCTTTAAAATTGTAGTTTCTAATGTGATACAAATGTGAGATAGAGGTAAAATGGAAGTGGTTTAAAATTGTAAATAATGCAACAAATAGACTAGTGCAGTTAACAGAAAAAGTTAAAAAGATAATACTAACAGATGTTGATATTTCTTTATGAAATACTGCCTTTAATATTATTTGTATTTTTTTTTTCTCAAATGAATGTTAGTATTTGAAACAAAAAAATATATATTCTTAAAGTATTATTAATTACAACTATGTGTAAATAGTCAATGAAAAGGTAAAACTAAAAGTAACCAGAAATAACTTGACATTTTGCCATAATTGTGTTCAATAAAAATTTTCTAAAAATATCGTTCAGAATGTATTAGTAATGCTCAAATATTAAAAAGAGTAGGACAGTCTTTTTATAACTTAGGTAGGTTTTTATTTTATAACACATATTTTTCATTATCAATTATTGGTTAATCATCATAATTTAATAGTCGATCTTTTAAAATAAACTACTAATTCATCTCAACTTGACAGAGAAAAAGTGCACATGATTTCACTTTAAAGTGTATAAAGCTATACGTTTGCTGCTTCAGTGTGGCAATACCACGTGACATTGACGTCATTTTCGGCATCATTTCCAAGACAAATGTTGCTCGATTCGGAAAAGAAAATAGCCGTAAATATTTTATTTCTGTACCAATTTCTTTTGGATATGCACCAGTCTACGGGGAAACATATAAGCTTTCCACAGAATATTGGATCTTCGTCAGTTTATAAGCCGTTTTATCAAACACTTTGCATAACCTTGGAAGTTGCTTGTATTAGAGCGGGCTTCAGTTGCAAGCTATTTCGTTTTCTGGCGTTATCTGGTCTACGTCATGATTAAAAAGTCAGGTTTACATCAACCGGGAGTACGGAAGGCAAAACTCTACCTAAATATGTTCATATTTTTATTATGAATGACATAAATCTTACATTTTTCTTCAATTGTCAATTCTCGCACCAGTTCCAAGTCGAAAAAAAAAGACTACAGTTTAAAGCAGATTTTAGAATCCGTTGCAAATGCAAAGCAACATGCCTACCGTTCTCTTTCTATAATTATGTTAACCATGAAAAACATTTCATTTACTATACGATTTACATAAACACAAATGAATACTTAAATGATGTTTACTTGCTGCGCTATAAGTGATTTTAAAAGTCGTAAAATTGTTGTCTGTATTTGTAAAGAAATTGATTTGCTCTTTAATCATTGTTCTTTCACGGTAATGATTATGAAAAATCTATTTGTGTCATGTAGCAATACTAAA